ATCAAAACTCGTAGCGAATCGTGATGAACTAAAAGTGTCATTTTTCTATTTAAAATTAAGAACTAAACTATGAATATCTCAAAATTATAAATAAAATATAGCCGTAAGCACGCAGCACCAACAGTGGAAGTAAATACCCCACACCGCCGATTTCGAAACCGGAAAATTAAAAAAATCTATACAAGCACACCACCTTGCTTGCATTTTCCGCTGTCACAGCGTCGGCGCCGACTCCGGCAGAAGCCATAAGAGCTACAATACCATGCCGGCAACTGTACTACGTGTTCTAGCCGCCGTGATACTCTGTTCGATAACGCCGTCGGTTCATTCACACTACCACTGGCCATCCTCCTCCGCGCCCGTGCAATCCGAGTGGCGGCCAGCGCGGGCGACCTACTACGCGCCGGCGGATCCCCGGGATGCGGTGGGCGGCGCGTGCGGGTTCGGGGATTTGGAGAGGAGCGGCTACGGCAAGGCGACGGCTGGGCTGAGCACGGTGCTGTTCGAGAGGGGTCAGATCTGCGGCGCGTGCTTTGAGGTCAGGTGCGTGGAGGATCTCCGGTGGTGTATCCCCGGAACTTCCATTATTGTCACCGCTACCAATTTTTGCGCTCCCAACTACGGCTTCGACCCCGACGGCGGCGGCCATTGCAATCCCCCCAACGCTCATTTCGTGCTGCCTATCGAGGCTTTTGAAAAGATTGCCCTTTGGAAAGCTTCGAATATGCCCATTCAGTACCGCAGGTTCGTATTCCCATCCGCCCAAACGTCAATCTCGCATTGTTTAATCCTTCAAGTTCATGAAATTCCAGAATTTTAAGTGATTTCTATCAATTCTTCAAATTTGACCTATTTTGGATCCTATCAATTTAATGATGTTTAGGACTAGGAAAGTTGGTTGAACAGTTAGCATGGTTAGTTGGTCGGTAATCCTAGGATTTCAAATTCATCAATCAGTTTTTGATAATTATAAGATTTTAAATTAACTCGCGATAAAGTTTTTTATTGATTTTTTTGATTTGGGTCAATAAATTATGGACAAATTAAGTTGATTTGTCTTTTTGTGATACTTTATTGACTAGATCACAATGTAGAGGCTTCCCCCAAAGTTATTTATTGGATTTTTTTGGGTTTAAGACGGTCATAAACTAGGTTGGTTTACCTTATTGTAGTACTGGGATCACAATGTAGAGGCTTCCCCCAAAACTATTTATTGGATTTTTTTGGGTTTAAGACGGTCATAAACTAGGTTGGTTTACCTTATTGTAGTACTTTACTGACTAGAATTGCAATTTACAAAGTGGGGTTTCACCCGCACCTTTAGTTAGACAGAGCCAAATGCCGGTGCGCACAAGGGATATGTTCATTTTGAGCAAAATTCTCACATTGTCGCTGTCGAAGTTCGAACCTTAGTCTCTCCTTCCAAATACTGCCTACTGAGCTACTGACCTAAGCCTGTGCGCCCATGTTCTCATAGCTGGAAAATGTCACCCCACATCATTGCTTGAAGCTTGTGATATGAAACACCAATCTTTTCTTTTCTATGGCAACTAAAATCCTAAAATCTTCATCTCCTTTCCCATTAGTAAATGGCAGCAGCAACAAAACCTTCCAATATGGGGGTTTTAATTAATATTCTCTTGTTCATATCTAGCCTTCTTGATTTGGGGCGTAAATCGTTTCTTCTTGGCTGGTTTCCAACAGAATAAAGTGCAGAAAGGAAGGAGGAGTGCGATTCACCTTAACCGGTGCAGGAATCTCCCTGTCGGTGCTGATCAGCAACGTTGCGGGTGCTGGTGACATCGTTGCGGTGAAAATTAAGGGCACGAGAACAGGATGGCTTCCAATGGGCAGGAATTGGGGCCAAATCTGGCACATAAATGCTGACTTGAAGAACCAACCTCTTTCGTTCGAGATAGCTACCAGCGATAAAGTCACCCTCACTTCTTACAGTGTTGCTCCCAAGAACTGGGATTTTGGACAGACTTTTGAAGGTAAGCAGTTTGAACTTTGAAGCTTTAAGTAAAATCTCCATGAATTTCATTGCCTGGACATTCATACTGGAAAGGGTTGCCACCATTATAGAACCTTTGAGCTTTGCCATGGTATAAGGCTATAAGCTAGATATAAGCCATTGTTCTTGTGGTTGTTTTTGTGTGGCAAATGTAATTAGAAATCCCAAACTGCACTTAGTGATGATAGCTGCAGTTCTTTTGGATAAGGCATCTCAAAATTTCTGGTTTCCATATCAAAATCAGACCACACATCTTGCCAAATGTGTAGTCTGATTCCAGTCATTAAATTGTAATCTATAACCCTGGTGGTCAGTTTAAAGGAATACCAGATTTAACTTCTGTCAATTGAATCGTGAGCCAGAAAAACAAATTGCATAGCTCACAAATTACGTTGTATTCATGAAAAATACTGAGTACTGAAATTATGTTATTTGAATACTGAAAGTACATTGTTTTGTATACTATCAAATAATGTACATTTAGTACACAAATAATGTACTTTTAATATATTAAAAATGTACTTTGTATTCATGGTTTTCACAGAAGAATTTGCCTATATTAAGTGGGTTGACATAACAGGCCTGTGTGGTGGGGTTTATTGGGCCGCTCGTGATGCAGTTTTATGTTTTGGACAAATGATGAACCATTGGCCCAACTAAGGGTGTTTAATTGTTTATTCCGCATAAAAAAGAAAAGAAAAGAAAATGTTTTAAGACTTTACCTGATCAAGAAAGTGTTGGTAAGAATTTATTCATCTTTTAAGTATAAGAATTATGTTTATTTCTTCTTTTCAAAGGTTGAACCCACCTTAAGGGCCCTTACACTGCGGCCTCAACTGAACATGAATCACAATTGCGTACTGTGCACAAGGAGTCCCCCCCTCACTGCCGTGAACATGAATCACAGAGGCTAAATCTTTGCTTAAGGAGTCTCCCCCTCACTGCCGTGAACATGAATCACAGAGGCTAAATCTTTGCTTACTGTGCACAAAGAGTCCCCCCCTCACTGCCGTGAACATGAATCATAGAGGCTAAATCTTTGCTTACTGTGCACAAGGAGTCCCCCCCCTCACTGCCGTGAACATGAACATGAATCACAGAGGCTAAATCTTTGCTTACTGTGCACAAGGAGTCCCCCCCGAGGCTAAATCTTTGCTTACTGAACATGAATCACAGAGGCTAAATCTTTGCTTACTATGCACAAGGAGTCCCCCCCCTCACTGCCGTGAACATGAACATGAATCACAGAGGCTAAATCTTTGCTTACTGTGCACAAGGAGTCCCCCTCTCGCTCGTCCCCCCCCCCTCACTGCCGTGAACATGAATCACAGAGGCTAAATTTTTGCTTACTGTGCACAAGGAGTCCCCCTCACTTTGAGAGGTTGCTCCCACACTGCCGTCGGTGAGACTCGATCCCTGGTCATTCTTTCCAACTTTCACCTCTATGACCAGTTGAGCTGCCCATTTCTTCTAGTGCTAACTCGTAGCGCAACCAGCACCCTAGGGTGTGCATGGGGTAAATGTTGTTTTTTGTGTTATAGCGTGTAGGATATCTTGTGCGATGAGCTTGACTAAGAAAGTATTAGAAAAAATCAAAACTCGTGACCTATTAGTACGAAAATTGTGCTCCACCAATTTGAATATCTCTTTCAAAGTTTTATATTTTTATTTTTAATTTTTTTTGGATGACGAGTGAATCTTATAGCCATTATGTAAGGATGTGTACTGGGTAAACACCGCCTTGTGACCCTAACTACCAAAAGACCACAAGGATGTAAATCAACTTAGATTATCCATAGCTGATAGCAATGGATCACTTTTACTGGTAGTTGATTTAGAATCTTGTGATTACTAAATTAATAATTTGACCAACTTAGCATGAGATTGCCCTGATTTATTTTTTATTTTCTTCTTATTACAGTTTATTGTTATCTTACCAACCTAGTAAAGTCACCATGTTAATTACGTATGCAACGACGTAGTGCGACAATAACGTTGAATAGCCCACAAAGTATTCCAATGACTAAGACCAAACCTTATGGCTTATGCACATTACCTACAAAAAGTAATTCTTTAATATTCTCTCTCAAAATTTCTTTAATATTCTCTCTCAAAATTATTCTTAATTATTATTAAAATAGTTGATATCATCATCACAAACTAATATGAAGTAATTACACTATTTAAGACAAAATTCGTTGCAAAATATTAAGAAATGTAGCCTTACTCTTTTTGTGAATTGAAATGTTTTTAATCAAACTTTCAGATTTACCTCTCTTATATGGTTTATAAGTTATTACACACGATCTTGATTTATTTAGTGCACACTCTCAAGTAATGGTTGCGGCCTTGGGGCTAGTTCGGCCAATCCATAGGTGATACTAGGATATGTTGTGTTGATGAAAATCATACAATATTGATCGAAATGACAAAATATGACAAGAATTTGATAGTGATGCACAAGTATGGATAAATTAATAGTCAGAGACCAAATTCAAAAGATGTACAATAAAGTTGTTGGGCAGCGGCTTGGAGAGTTGAGTCCAACATAATATCATCGAAATATGACGCTGACTGCTACGCAAGTAGAATCAAATAAAGTTACACTTTCGCTACTTGCTATATATAGCTTTTGACATAGTGATAAACACTTAATACAAACGTATAAAACAATATAACGCCAAATGGGTAATCTTGTACAACTTAAAATTACAATTTCGATTATTGTTAATATTTTCTTTTTCGAACTTGTGTACTTCTATGTATGATTTACGGGGGTAATATAGGATAAACTTTATCGTGTACACCGCCGGCCGGCTAGGTTTTAATGTTTTATATGTTTAATCCTTCTGCCAACAATGTAACCAATTTCAATACATTTGACGTAACTCATGACGGAATTAACAACATTGCATTTAATTTATTGACTTCACATTGTATCCCAAAATCCCTCTCTATATAAACGCCAACAATCCTAACGAAAACAGACCAATAAAAAACATCCTTAAAAAAAAACAAAACACTAAGAATGTCTTCGAAGCAGGACGAGGTTGTCGTGTTGGACTTCTGGGTGAGCCCATTTTGCATGAGGGTGAAGATTGCGTTGGAAGAGAAAGGCGTTGTGGGTTATGAGTTGAAGGAGGAAAACTTGCTTAGTGGGAAGAGTGATCTTCTCTTGAAATCCAACCCTATTTACCAAAAAGTCCCTGTGTTATTGCACAATGGGAACCCCATTGTTGAGTCCACCAATATTGTTTACTACATTGATGAGGCTTGGCCCTCCTCCCCTTCTTTGCTCCCTTCTTGCGCCTATGGCCGGGCCCGGGCTCGGTTTTGGGCCGACTTCGTTGAGAAAAAGGTGACATTTTTTGTTTTTATTTTGAGTTGAGACATAAATTTCTGTGCAAATATTGAATAGAATAGGTTTATTACTAATTCGACTCCATGTGTGAGCTGTTTATTGATTTTTTGATTTGGGCTGGTCAGTTATGATAATTTAGACTAGTTTACTTTTTTGTGATCTTTTGTCCGTTAAAGTTATGAGGTAAGTTTCACCCAAAAAGCATCTCTGGGTAGCCACTTCAGACTTTCTTGTAAATTAAAGAAAGGCGTCTTATATTAATATATAGTTGGATTCCATGTGGGAGTTGTCTATTGTCTTTCTTGGTTTGAGCCGATCACTAATAACATGTTGGCAAGTGTCACAATGCCGACTTCACCCAAAGCACACCTTCGAGTAGCTGTTGTGGACTTTCCCGTAAATCAAATAATAGGCCAATGACTTGTACGTGATCTAGCGGCACGAAGTGACTTTTTCAAATGGGAGGTCGTGCTTCGGTAGGTTGGGGGCGGTATTGGCTCTTTGTTCGTTAGTAGGTTGAGAAATTAGTTATGAAGAAATAATACATTGTAACAGAGTTCAGTAGTACTAACAAAAAAACTCTAACGTAATTTATGTGCAAAAGAAACTTTTACTTTAAATGGATCTCCAATTTTCATTTCTCAAAAACTTTCAGTTCTTCAATTTTTTCCTCTCTAGTTTTTCAATTACAAGTAAACATATTTTATATTTTTATGCATGCATGTATTTTAGTATAGCCCAATATTTTAATTAATTAATTAATTAATTATAAATTACATGAATAATATAATGCAGGTATTTGATGCTGGTGCTGCAATATGGGGAGGCAAAGGGGGAGAGATAGAGGCTGCCAAGAATGAATTCATAGAGGTCATAAAGAAGCTGGAGGGAGCTCTAGGGGAGAAGGATTACTATGGCGGCGACACGTTTGGGTTCGTGGACGTCATCGCCATCCCCCTGACATCCTGGTTCCCAACCTACGAGAGATTCGGAGGGTTTAAGGTGGAGGAAGAGTGCCCAAGGTTTGCTGGTTGGATGAAGAGATGCCAGGACAGGGAGAGTGTTGCCAAGGCCCTTCCTGACCCGGAAAAGGTCTACGAGTTCGTTATCAGGCTCAGGAAAATGCGTGGGATTGAATAGGAAAAAGATAAATAATACGAGGGGGATTGATAAAGTTCGAATAAGTCTGTATGGTCGGTCTGGTGGTGGAGATACCGAATGCTATTAAAGCTAGCAAAGGGGTTTTGCTAGCTTTCAATATGACTTTGGTTTCTCAAATAATAATTAATAATGGGGTGGTGTGGCTGGCTGGCTGCATGGGTTGTTGTTTGGTGTTTAGTGAGTTGCATGTTTTGTTGTTTGGACTTGGTGTGGTTGTCTTTTATTGTTTGATGTACGAGGATATCATCTCCTTTCCCTTTGTTCTCTTTTCATGTATGTACGTGATGAGAAGATAGAGGGGAATACTCGAAAAGATCTACACGAGAAAATTAATCTTAGCTTGTAAAATAATATTAATTGCTTGCTTAATACAAGAATAAGTATTTGTAATAATGGTTGCAAATCAACTATTTATATGAGAGACTTTCAACTATGTCTTAACAACAAACTACATGTTCCTATGTGAATCAGGCACCGGGCACTTTCAACAGCTGTGTTTGATTCCAGATATACTCATCGTGCCCACTGTATGAGCTCACCTAGGCGACCTCGAGGTTGACCCTCAATTTGCCCCATTGTCAACCTCGAGGTCGCCTAGGTGAGCTCATGCAGTGGGCAAGATGAGTATATATGGAACAATATGATCTACTGCAATGAGGCAAGATCGAGTCTTAGCAACCATAACAGTTGGTATCAGAGTCGTCAAAACCAAGTAACTAATCTGGAAGCGGATGTAAAGTCCTAGCAATGTGAGAATTTTACCTTCTTGTAATGATGACTTCTTTTGGACACAAGCTAGGCACGAGTCCTCCCACTTAATAAATCATTGAATTATCGTAATTTATCCATCCACAGTTTATCAGACTAAGGTATGGTACGGTGACCATTAAGATAAAAAAAAAAAAAAAAAAAAAAAACTGCCTTTTATAACCAAACAATATAAATATGGTTCATTGACAGCCACTATATGTATGTATGTAGATTTGAGTCATCATCTTCATATTTAATACACACAAACATTGCGTTTCAACTAATAATAAATTATTGTGGATGGAGTAGCTATTTGAGCGGTCACGGGATGCCTCACGGCCAAGCTGTATAAATGGTTGTTTGTGGATGAGTAGTTAGTTTATCCAAGCTGTACAAAATGGTCGCTTATGTATGGATGAATATATGTAATACGTTATCTTGACAATACACATTACAATAATGAATAATGCAGCATATGAATGGTTGGGCCGAGGAAACATTTCTGCCATGTCTGCTTCCCACTGTCCACATTCCACAATGCCAGGAAACGCAACGTTGTATGGCATGTCTCCAAGACCACGTGGACATGACGTGATACCTTCCTCAAAATAGACCTCGATCAAAAGAGGTTAAATTGCTCGTGGTATTAGTCGATAAAAAGTCTCACTTTTTTTACCAACGAAAAGTTCATTCACCCTAATCATGAGCCAATACAGATTGAAGAAATAAAGGCGGATTGGCATACTATACCACTCTGTACAGTCTAACATAAAATGTGCTTCCCTAACTAGTTATGACATGGGCTACACTATCCGCCTAACAAAAGAAAACTGAATTAAGTTTACCACACTAGCCTGATAAAAAGTAGTCTCATTTAAAATTTACTTTCACCAGTAGGTTAGAAGTTTGATTCCTACTACATACATTGGGGATTTGAGTTTGAATTAAGGACAAGAGTTCGATTCTACAACGAACATTGGAGGTTTGAGTTTGAGTAGTTTGACTCATTGTGCACATAAGCGTCGCAAGAGTTCGATTTCTACAACGAACATTGGAGGTTTGAGTTTGAGTAGTTTGACTCATTGTGCACATAAGCGTCGCAATTGATCTGATCTCTTCATGGGTTGTGCACGCTTGCACGGGTTGCAGGATCTTGACAAAACCCTTAGAACTTATATGACTCATGCATTTGGGTGGATCAACGGTTAAGAGTTGTGGGAAATAAACGGGAAAAGATTGGGTTTCTTTTAATAAATATTAAAAATTTAAACATTTTTAATAATTATAAAATTGACACAATAGTTTTTTTTTTTTGCTAAAAGTCTTAACCATTGATGATATGAATCATAATGGGTGACTGAAATCAATCCTCTACAAGAAGACCATGTTCTCATTTGAACGCTTCCCCTTGTAAAAAGTGTGGACACATTCACACCCTTCATCTTGAGAAATCAAACGTTAAGATCTTACCATTACTAAACTTTCAAGTTTGCAATAATTATAAAATGAACTCCCCTCAACTTTCAAGCACCTTGTGCTTAGATGACACCTTTGCGGTTCCCCTTGAGGGAAGGTCATCGGATCGAACCTACTTAAAGAAAGTATAGAACAAATGTTACGTACCTTGTAATAGAGTCAAAAGTTTTCAATAATTATAAAATTGAACCCTTTTTTTTTTAATTTTTTTTTAAACTAGAATCATCCATTGATTAAACCTAATGGACAGCTGGGATCAGTTCTCACTCCTTACAAAAACACCCTGTTCGATCTCATTTGATCCACACACACTTGGTTCAGTTCCATATATATATATATATATATATATATATATATATATATAGTTGCTAAGAAAACAATTGATTTCATCTATATATGAAAACAGTTGCTTTCATGAATCAAATAAAGTTTAGCTTAGCTGATCTTTTTGTCATTGCCTATTTGGATTTGGAATTTGGTTTGGGTGTATATGTCCAATTGGATAGTGTTGTGTATGTTTACTCCTCATGTCATATCTTTTTCGACTATCACTCGTTATGTATGATATGTCAATCATAATTTATGATATTACATTAGTATTTATATTAAAAAAAAAAAAAAATAGAACATCTCTATCACCCGTAGGAGCCACACTCATATTAATCCATACACGAGCCCACACCAATACTTGCCAGAGTGCCAGACATTCACTGTACATACCCGCAATAGTAAGGGCATGTTTAATTCAAGAAATTGTTCTATGTTTTTTTCTTTTAGTTTTTCAGTTTTCATTCTATATTTTCTGTTTAGAAATTTGTTTACTAACACTCATTTTTTAAATTTAATTTGTTTAGAATTAAAGCATGTACTCCATCTCAACTAAAAGTCTAAGCTAATAGTTGAATTGCACATTTATGTTTATGTTATATTATATGCTCAACAAGACTAACGTTATAAAATTAACACAAGTTTAATTTCAAGTGATTTTTTGAACTTATATTTAAAATATTTTTGGATATGTTTGGTCTAAATGGAATAAATATAATTGTTACTTTTAAGTCTAATATATGTAAGATTTTTACATTTGATATCCGAATTAAATTCGTATCCGTATATAATATAACTAAAAACATATCCGAACTAATACTCTATTAAGTTCACAATATTTAAAAAATACTTTTGGATAGATTCATTTGAATGACGTGTGTGCGCGTGTGTGATATGTGTGTGTGTGTGTGATTTTTTACTTTGAAATTTAATATATGTGAAATTTCAATATCTAATATTCAGACATAACTTGTATTACGATATTACATAAATAAAAATATCTAAACCAATAATCTATTGAGTTCAATCAAAATCTAAAACTTGATGTATGTAGAGTTCAAGTTTTAATTATGATAATGTAAATAATGTCTAACTTTAAACACAAGCAAATAAATTATGTTTATATAATTAGTAAATGCAAGTAGAAAAGATAGAAGATGATGGTATGTATATATGTAAAAGAATATGATAATGAATGTAATCATAGTAATGATAAATATGTAAGTAGATAATGGTGAAAATGTAATTATAGTAGTGATATATAGCCATATAGATAATAGATGATTCTGTTTTTCATATAGAAAACAATTTTTAAAGGTTTTACAATTTTTTAAAACATTGTTAAATGTTTTTTGTTTTCAAAATGTATGTGTGACTTTATTATTATTATTATTATTATTATTATTATTATTATTATTAATTAATTAATTAATTAATTAAAACAATTTACCAAAGCTAAAAAAATTACCAAAGCTAAGGCTGCAGTAAACCCACTATTAAGAGATACTTAAACCCCACCACTTCTCTTTTCTCTCCCATCCACATGTGTAAAAATCATCAAAAATTCATTGATGGCCTTACTCTAACGATAGATAATTCACCTCCAGGTGGACAAAAAATTGCGTTTTTCCAGCTGGTGATTCGGACATAACTGCAGACAATGGTGGCATAAGGGGCAACCTTGTAGCTTTGTGCATGTTATTATCCTAATTAATGTGAATGCAAGGCAAGAATTTTGGGCCAGACAAACCCTACAATTACTGTATATAAATTTTTTGAGAAAATTAAATAAATTGACCATTTTTTGAGTACTGACTTTGTTATAATATAGTATCTGTTCATAATTACTTTCTTATAAATTGATCATTCAGTTACGCTTCTGATTAATACACATCATTCAATCTAATAAACGATTACTAATCACTTTGGTCAGAGATTCGAATCCCCTCTCGTATGAAAAATTCAATCTGGCCAGTATTTTACCTTTATCTTGAGCCAGCCCGATATGAATGGAGATTAATCTGAGTATAGTACGGGTTTAAAAGTGTCTCCTACAATTAAGATCCTCTGCACACGCAAAGATTTGTTCCCGACAAAGTTTAATCCTTAACTATCACGGCCAGGCACTACAACCACAATCACAACAAGCCTAGAGGCTAGAGGAATGCATGTGGTGTCAACATCAGAAGTGATGCTTACATTATATACTCATTGAGATATATGTTGTGTGGGGAAACATGGTGGACATGAATGTATGGACCTCCATTACCCATTCTACTATGAGAGAGATAGGATTGCCCACAAATCTTCTTGGGCCAAGCCAAGCCCGACAGACTCATGTATTGTCGCACATTAAACTTTTTTTTTTTTTTTTCAAGTTCTTATTAATTACTTTAAAATTAAAAATCACCTACTTGAAGGTGTGTTGTTTTAGGTGAAAAATACATTGTGATCTTGATTGGTAAATAATCATAAGGAAGTAAACGAGTTTAGATTACTCATAATTAACCAGTTCAAAACAATATAGCCAATAGACACATTATTTTGAGTGAAATTCGTGATAGATTATTATACTCCTTTGTTTCAATCCCTCAATGCATATATTGTATGGAAAAGAAGAGCTAGCTAGCCCTCAATTACTTTCCTAGTAGTCTTGATCACAAGAATAAAGGTAGGCAGCATAACCAGCATTATCCTTATTAGTCACATTACAACATTCCTAGAAAGGGAAACTAATAACCCATCAAAACATCATAGCAATACTACACATACTCGCTCGCAGGGTAGCTCAACTAATCATAGGGGTGAAGTTTAAGAATAATGACCAGGGATCGAATCTTACCAACCACAGTGTGGGAGCAAACTCTCAAAGTGAGGGAGGCTCCTTGTGCGCAGTAAGCAAAGAAGGGTCTAGCTCTATGGTTCAGTTGAGCTACCATGCAGAGCCGGGGTGTAGGGGCCCTTGGGGTTGGGGATTCAACCTTTAGGGAAGAATACTACACATACTCTATTTTTATTATCTGTTTACGTAACATATTCTGATTCATCTATAAAAAAAAGGTAGGTCATAATTTTTTTTTTTTTGATGACTAGGAAAACTTGCCGACATTATCATATATTATGTGCACCAAGTAAATCCCGTCTTATGATCATAACCGAGGACTACAATGAAGTAAACCAGGCCAGTTTAAATTGTTCATAACTAACTCACTCAAACTAAGAATTGAAGGCCTATACTAACCTATAGATATTTGTTTTTTTTTTTTTTTTTTTTCTATCAATCGAATCATGAAACATGACGAGAAACTTTCTGGTATAATACATATATTATTTTCTTATAGCTAGCCTTTGAACTTGAAGAGTATAATCATGATCATCATAAATTCCATGAACCATGTATAAGTGTGGACCTAAGCTACCAATTAGCTAGCTAGCTACCTCATCACCTCATTGTTATCTTCTTGAACACTTCAATAATTACTTCATCAAGTATGATTAGCTAGCAAATGGGGATTTGGGCCCCACCAGAAACATTGCATATTACTATCTTTTTATGTATAGTATAACCTCAATGGCATCAAATCATGATTTAGTTTCACATGCAATGACTAGTACACAAGTCTTGAAATTGTTACTGTCAAAACCTGCCTTTCTGTTTAATTATGTGATGTGTAAAGAAATGCATGTGGACATATATTGGATGATTATATTAATGTTTAAGTACAATAACCCACACTATATATATGTGTGTGTCTGTTTTTTTTTTTTTTTTTTTTTTTCTAGATTAGGGAAACTTTATATTAAATAACTATATGAAATGTTTGTATCCTTTTGTAATTTTCCCTCGTTGAGAACACTTTTAAGTCATTGTATTTATTTCAATTATTCCAACCCATCCAAGGACCTTTCATAAGTTGCACACATGTCTTACCAACTTAACCAACTCATATTTCATTTACTTTTATATGTATTTTATACTTATACCTAAACATGTATTATATATACACATATATTACATACTAGAGCTATATAGGGGTGGGTGGAGGAAGGGGGGCAGCTACCCCCTACTTTAGCTCCGCCCCTGGTTATCTAGTTCGCACACATATTTACTCTCGGGAAGATATATATGCTTCATGGAGCACACCTGCTTGCCAATTGTCTAAATTTAATTCCTCATTTCATTTTCCAGATGTATCTACAAGTAAACATATTCTCTATTTTCTTTTATAATGTTTTTCAGTACTCCAAGCAAGGTGTGATTACAAACCAGAGAAATATGTCATTTTTCAAGGAAAATGCAAAACTTAAGAAAATAAAACATAAAATATGTTTTTTTTTTTAATACTATTAACTCTATTACAATACAGAATATAAAATATGTTTAGTTGTACATTTGAAAAACAAAGAACAATAAATATAATGCCGAATGGAAAAATGATAAAGAAAAGAAAACTAGAAAATTATTGAAATACACGCACATTTACATAATTACGTTATCATGATTAAATTTAAACCCAACCGTTAATCTTGACCTATCAAAGTATTGTCATGTTTTATGTATTAGAATATGTAATTTAACCATGAATATGTAATACTGGTTCAAATGCGAACGGTGCAGATTCACCATTAGGTATGCATAAATACACCACATATTATTTGAAAATGCGCCACAATGAAATGCATCAATGCACCACACACCAAAAAAATACACCACGCTTCACCACACCTAATTGTACATTTTTAAACACTTTGTAGTGCATTTATGTGTATCTAATAATATGTGACTGCACAACCACACAGAACGCGATGTCTCACGGGAACTTGGTCCCTACTTATATAATATATTCATCTATCAATCTATCATCATGTAAGACTCCAAGAATAGAAATCTTGATCGAGTATTTATTCCTTAAAATAGTAATTGTGGGTTGCACATGCAACGTTGAAATTAAACTCCAAATTAAAAAGTATAAATTAGGAAATCCTAACCCTAATTTAATACTAAGCAATGCAATCAATCGTTATATATGCATTGACCTAACCTTGGGTATAGTGGCCAACAATTAATTCAACTCTCCAAGAATTGTGTGCACAAAGGTTTGTGCCAATAAATTATACTAATATTTTATTAAATAGATAATGGTAATTTTCGTTTTCATTGTCGTTCTCAAAAGGTTGAATTCTTAATTTCAAAGGCCTCCCGCTAGCGTTGATTAATATTCATAACAAAGTTAAAATGTGAACTATGCACTCTGATCTGTAATTGTTAACAAAGCAAAACTTATGAATTTATTTTGAGTTGTTTACCAATTGAGTTATACCTAAATTATTTAACTTGTAAAAATTTTCATCTATCAATTGTTGAGAAGTGCCTTTTTTGATCATTAGGTTTTGTTAGGATTAATGAGTTTAAAAAATCACTGTATCGATAATTGATAGATGAAAAAGTCACTTTGAAAACAATTGCGTGATAAAATATTGTAACAACGTGACGGAAAATGTCATTTTTCTTTATTAAAAAGATGAATAAAACTAATTTTAATTATGAACTTTTATCTCAATAATTTTTTTGCTGTAATTATGCATTTTGCTTTTTATAGGTACATATTTCATGAAATTAAAGAAAAACTAATGGATTGTTTGATTCACGAATTTTGTATGATCAGATTTGATTTTGATTACCCGATTTGTTATATATATATATATATATATATATATATATATATATAACAAAAGTAATGATGAGCCACACCTAAAGAGATAATAATACTTTGCAAAATCACAATGCCGAAATTTTTGACATAGCATACACTGTAAAGTTGTCATGTGACAGCAGTTTCATTTGCTTACTTTATTTATTTTATGCAGAGCAAGAAAAAGTTTGGTACAAAGAATTGCAGGGAGGAATTTGCTTAAACATATTAGAATTATCAGTAAAAATATACTTAAAAGTTATTAATCAAATTCCTCCGAAAGGGATGATTGAGTGAATGGAACATGATTTCAATTTGTATCAGAATATTATGATTTTGATTCTTACCATCATTTTCTCAGTCGAGCTCGTTGCACAGAATTCTTCTAATGCAATTTACATCTTTTGTGTGATCTGTGAACTGTTGGCCTCTTACACATGAGCATGGTTATTAATATACATTATTAAATAGTGACTACGAGTTTTTCTCGTTATGTAAAAAATAAATAAAAAGAAATGAGTTAGCAACTCGTGAAAGTCTTGAAGACTATTATATTATATCTTCTTAATAAATAATATTTGTTGATATGAAGTAACTAATGTTATTGGAGATTTAAACTTGTGGCTTAATAGTTATTAGAACGTGTTTTAATAATTGTGATTTTTATGTTAAAAAATTATTATTCAAAATATAGATGCAATACCTTATATCTACTTTTGATTTAGTATAAATTTCACTTTAAGTTAAATAATAATAATTTTTAATCAAATCAAATTTCACTTTAAGTATAAAAAATAAAAAATAAATTTAAATTTGACTAAAATTGATGGAAGTAAATGATTCAAAGAAGAAAAAAGGAATGAAGGTAAGGGGGGAGGGCCCTACAAAATATATTGTGCGACTTTTCTAGGGTCCTACGTTTGTACAGCGGTTGGCAAAATACTGGAACATAGCTGACTTCTTTTTCTTATTTTCCTCCCTTGTAAACCAAACTTGGAAGCTTTTCAAGTATGGCAAACGTTATCCACAAATCATACCGGGAAAGATAATAAACTGTATTAAAAAAATATTAATAATAATTAAATTTGTGACCATTTAGATACAGAATTATGGTACTTAAAAAAAATAATAATACAGAATTATGCTTCACTCACTTATCCACTATTTTTAATCTATATTTAAAGTCTTTTACACTTATTAAATTAATGCTCTATAATATCATTTTGAACTAAACATGTGAGAACTAATCATTATAAAAAATTTGGTCAATGTGATTAAATGTTGTAAAAATAAAAGTATTACACTAAATGTGACAAAAATCAAATGTAGGTATGACCTAATAGTCATAAGAGAACTAATACTTTGCTAGAATGTGCGAATTAATCTCATTCGTTCATTTAAACTGGTCAAGGGTTGAAATTTAAAAAAAAATATGACGACATTTATGTAATTACAACAAATTAAAGTATTCATGGATAACCAACAGCACACTCAGGGTTTATAAGAATACATTTTGTATATGTATAGTTAGTTATCAATAGATACACTATCATGCACCATTGTAATTACATAATTGATACCATATTTTCTCCCATTTTTGTATATCTATACATAAGGTCAGGTTCTCGTATGAACAGAGCTTCCCACCATTAGATACGCATAAATGCATCAAAGTGTTGGAAAATGCTTTATAAAGTGTGGTGCATTTTATTCATTACGGAGTATTTTTATTGGTTGTTTAACAGGTGCAATGGCGAGTGATAATCATGGCTTAATTGTGATTAGATATGGAGAAAGCAGGCGAAATGCATATCATTCCGGTGGTGAAATGACGCTTTATCAACACACGTGCTGTGAATAACTTCACACTGTTCAGTAAACTCCACCCTCCATAGCTAATTTCATCGTCATCCTCATGTAGCCATGTCACTTCTCTCCCTCCATAGCTGCACAACGTACGAGCTGAACAGTGTCGTGTAAGAAAAGTTGAGAAACCATCAATCAATCAATTCAAACGCACCCAACTGCCCATTCCGACGCCTTGAAATTGAAATTCTTCTCTCTTTTCTTTTCGCCTCTCCGTTCGAGGTTCTGCCATTACCGCAATCTCGATCTTTTGTTTATTATTTTAAGGTTCCCCCTTGCTGGGAAACCGAAGCCCTGATCCTCTGGGAAAAATGGGTGAACAGTTCTTGGCTCCTGGAGCTTCTGACAGGGCAGTTGAACAGGTCTCTTTTTTAGTATTCTGGTCTTTTGTTTCTTGTGGATGGGCTGTTATTAACATTTGATTTCTGTATAGGTTGTCTGTAACTGTAAGCATCATCAACCTTAAACTATGTATGGTTTTTTTCATTTTGGGTGCAGGCAATTGTTGCATTAAAAAAGGGTGCTCATCTTTTGAAGTATAGCAGGATGGGGAAGCCCAAGTTCTGTCCTTTCAGGTTATCCCAGGTAAAGGATTTCAAGAAATACTCTATATTGACGGGACAACCACAACCAAGTTAGTCAGTTTATTGACTTAGTAACCAAAGGCTACAGGATCGACTCCCAATTGGAGGGTCTATTGGCCTCGACTCCCAACTGGAGCGGTCTATTGAGACTTGGAAACCATAAGGCTACAAGATCGACTCCCAACTGGAGGGTCTATTGGCCTCAACTTTCAACTGGAGCGGTCTATTGGCATTATTAGTTTGAGTTAGTCAGTTTCGAGAAAACTGAGTTGGTTTACCTCCTTGTAGTCCTTTGACAGCTAAGGTTACAAGGCAGGATTTATCTAATGCACACAGTCTGTATAGATTGCTCTATTGTTTATTGTTGATTGAATGAAGTTTGATGTATTGTCATCTTAGAAATTAATCTTTGACATAAATGCATTGCTGGGTTTCAGGATGAGAAATTTTTGATTTGGTACTCAGGTGAAAAGGAAAAACATCTGAGGTTGAGTTCTGTCACCAATATAATTCATGGCCAACAAACTGTTAAGTATTGAATCTTCCCTGCTTCTTTATCTACAAGAGCCACTATAAACAAGTCTGCAACTCAAACAAATTTGAATCTTCCATATATATATATTTAATAAATGTTTAATCTTCAGAAACAACTTCAACCTGAAAGAGAAAGTCAGTGCATTTCACTAGTCTACGCAAATGGCGAGCAATACTTTGATCTGGTAAAATGTTTATCAACCATGATCCTCTCAATTTCTCTTCTGCATATATATATATTTATGGGTGTTTATGTACACAGATATGCAAGGACAAAATGCAGGCCGAGTCTTGGTTTCTAGGCTTGAGAGTTGTAATATCGAGGAGTCGCCAGAATAGGTTGTTGGGCACGGGGAAACACAGAAGAGGAGCTCAAAGTTGCATTAATAGTCCGGCTAGCTATATACGGAGGAGACAGATTCTAGGCCTTCCCGAGGAGATCCCCGGTTCAAATCAGGTACTTATATAGTCTAGTTTCTGGGAACTTATATATGCTTCTTGATCATGTTTAATGTCCTGAGGATATGCAAAAATTTGTTGAAGGTTCGCAGCTTAGCGAGAAGTCCTGATCAGTCGTTTTCAGGGAGGGGCTATTCTGATGGATTGTCTTGTTCTTCTGACAGCATCTTTTCGAAAATAAGTGCATCAGATATGCAAAGTGCCCCCCCGGATGGGATAAACCCGAGTTCTCCATATTCTGAAGCGGATGATATAAACCAGAGAGCAGCGGATTTTGTTCAGGACGAAATCCAGTCTGATATACTTGCTGTGTATGCTGCATCTGTTAATGAGTCCGTGCAAACCGGACATGTCTTGAGAGATGTTTATGTTTGGGGAGAAGGAATCGGAGGGTTCTTGGGGGGTGGAGGGGGAGAAAAACTAGATTCCTCGTTACCCAAAGTCCTCGACTCAACTGTCATGCTCGATGTCCAAACGTTGTCCCTTGGTAGGAACCACGCGTCCTTAGTCACCAAACAGGGTGAGGTGTTTTGTTGGGGTGAAGGGAAGAAAGGGAGGCTCGGGCATAAAGTCGATATGGATGTCTCCCACCCGAAGCTCGTGGAGTCCCTTAGTGGGGTTAGCGTGAAGTCTGTCGCTTGTGGTGAATACCAAACGTACGCCGTGACGCCTTCTGGCGAACTCTACACTTGGGGCGACAGTTCTTTCAGTGCAGACTTAACAGGCGAAGATCGGAAGAGAAGCCATTGGCTGCCACAGAGAGTGTCCGGTTCGTTAGATGGTGTGACCGTTTCATCTGTTGCCTGTGGGGAATGGCACACGGCAATCATCTCGACATCCGGGGAACTATTTACCTATGGCGAAGGAAATTTTGGCGCCCTCGGTCATGGCAACACCAAAAGCCTTCCTCACCCTAAACACGTCGAATCTCTCAGGGACTTACGGGTGAAGTCTGTCGCCTGTGGACCGTGGCACACTGCTGCAATCGTCGATATCATGGTGGATCGTTATAAATTCAACAATCCCGGTGGGAAGTTGTTTACCTGGGGAGACGGTGATAAAGGTAAACTCGGCCATTCTGATCAAGAAAAGAAGCTTTTACCAACATGTGTCACAAAACTCGTGGGACAAGATTTCGTTCAAGTGTCCTGTGGGAGAACTCTAACGGTAGGACTATCTAGCATGGGAAAAGTTTATACAATGGGAAGCGGAGTCTATGGGCAACTAGGTAACCCACAAGCCGAGGATAAACCAATAACCGTCGTGCAAGGGAAACTCAAAGACGAGTTTGCTCGAGAGATCTGCACGGGATCTTACCACGTTGCTGTCCTAACAACAAATGGAAACGTTTACACATGGGGACGAGGTGCAAATGGACAACTAGGATTAGGTGACACGAAAGATCGAAATTCTCCAACCTTAATCGATGGTCTAAGAGACAGACAGGTCGAGCATATCACGTGTGGGCCGAGTTCTACAGCAGCAATTTGTCTGCACAAGTCGATATCTAGTACCGATCAAGCTTCTTGCAGAGGATGCAGTATGGGATTTGGGATTACGAGGAAGAAGCACAACTGTTATAACTGTGGTCTCTTGTTCTGTCGAATCTGTTGCAGCAAAAAAAGCACGAATGCATCTCTTGCGCCCAATAAAAACAAACCTTTTCGAGTGTGTGATGCCTGTTTCAGCCAGCTTCAGAGACCGCCCGAGCTTGAAACGTGTACCCCACGACCATTTTTCATCACAACAAAGGTGGAGAAGGAAGAACGGGAACAAGCACAGTCTACTACAGCTCGAGTGACATCCCGAAGAAAATGTTCTAACATGAGTGATTTCTCGTATGATGGGAAGACAACCTTAAACAACCAAATAGAAACAAAACAGTGCTTAGATCTGACCTCTTCTGTGGACAATTTGCCCAGATGGGGGCAGGTTTCTTGTCCCGAAAGTTTTAAGAGACGTTTAAGAGAACACACCGAATTTCAAACTTCCTCAGCGAGGGACCAATTCACTTCCGTTTCCCCGGTTCGTTTGCTGCAGTACCCGAAAGAACCAAAAGTTATTCCACGCTCGGCTCCAGTGCAGCAAGACTTCTCAGAATCTGATAAGTTGCTTCTCGAAGAGGTTCAGAAGCTAAGAGCTCAGGTAATCTCATCTCCTATTCTCGACATTACTGAAAATCATAATCATAATCATAATCATATCTGTGTAGAAAGGGATAAGTTGTTTCGCTTTCTTCATTATTCATTGCTTTTATATAGGTTGAGGGCCTTAAAAAGCTATGCCATTCAAGAAAAGAGAAAATTCAAGAACGGAAACAGAAAATCAAGGAGATTTGGTCGCTGGCAATGGAGCAAGAGGCCAACTGTGAAGCAGCAAAGGAAGATATAAGAGTTTTGACATCAAGGGTAATATTTTGGGGGGATTAAGGAAAAAAAGAATCTGTCTTGATGCTAAATTAGGTAGCAGTCTTTGATGTACCTTTTGTATGTTGCAGCTTCAAGCTATGTCAGAAGATGCTTCTGCTGGGATAGGAACTAAAGATCAATCTAGCGAAAGTTCACCTCAGATTACTTCTCCATACACGAGAAACGCAGATATGAATCCCGAGCAGTCGAATCTTCAAGATTTGCAACCAGAAGAACGGAAAACTGACAGTCTGTGTAGTTCTCCGATTGTATTCTCCAGTACTTCAAGATTCTTGCGTAAAAAGGACAGCCATGGCCAGTCACGATCAACCGAGGAATCATGCCCAGTGGAAGGAGACTCGGGACAAGCAGGATCGATTGCTTCAGGGCTTGAATGGGTGGAACAGTTTCAACCCGGTGTCTACATTACACTCAAAACTTTGCCCGGTGGGCGAAAGAATCTCAAGCGAGTTCGTTTCAGGTAAATTTTCAATCACTACTAAGCAGATTTCCTACTTCTAGCCAGTGTTGCAAAAATCGGGCCTAGGCGCTAGACGGTCGGCCACCTAGGCGCCCGCCTAGGCGCTCTAGGCGCCGATTAATCGTTCTAGGCGCCCGCCTAGAGGGCGCCTAACGATTTTTTCAACCTTGCTTCTAGCATTAATGCTCGTCCCGGCTGCATTTTGCAGTAGAAAGAGATTCACCGAGAAAGAAGCAGAAAAATGGTGGGGCGAGAACCAGATGTTTGTGTGCCAGAGATACAACATTGATATAACTTCAGATATCAGCCAAGATTGATATAACATGTTATGAAACTTTTATCGAATTATTGACAATTAAAACGCCATATGAAGTTTTATTGCAGAGTGTAAAGTATATACACACTAGTGTAAAGACTGGAACAACAGATTAAACTCTTCGTGAAAACTATAAGAGAGTGGCATTAGAACATCAAAATATACCCGTCTTTACCAAATATGGAGAAATCTCAAATCATTTCAGGATTGCGGTTCCATGATAAAAACGCGGGATCACCAAACGATCTGCACGCAATGCACCAACGGTTAGACACGAGATCATGATATATACATACAGTTACATACATAGATAGATACACAGTAAGCAAGTATTCTTCATGCATAGAGAACGGAAGATGCACTACTGTAAATTATGGAATTTTCGACCACCTTAAAGTGATCTTAAATCAAGTTAAAATCAAAAAGTGGTCGAAAATAGCAACAAAGGTTTTTCCGGATACCAAAAGTGGTCGGACAAGGCTTTCGACTTGATTTAAGATCACTTTCAGGTGATCGGAAATTCCATAATTTCCAGTAGTGATGGTTGCCCGCAGAATCTTACCTTGGTTTGATGACATACAAAAGTATGAAACTTATCGCCAAGAAAAAGCAAATCCCGCCAATGCTGAGGTATGCAACGCCAAGGAAATCATTCTTTCCGCCAATCCACGTTGCAGTTGAAATAACTAACTTCTTTTTGCCCCCGAAAGTATACGTGTTATAGTTATTTTGTATTACAACCGTAATCTCCTGGTTCGCTTCAAGATCACTTTCTATCCTCCCATAGAGCTTCCTAAAATTCGGTAACGCTGCTGTTCGCATCCAAACAAGAAGATCCTCTTGCTCACTCAACTATGAAAGCAAACGGGAACGATAATTCAATAAAACTTCACAAAACACAATCTATCGAGAGTCATATAAAGGAAGCGTGTTCACTAACAGGTAAGCTTTCGTTCAGTTTTCCACCTCCAATTAGCCCGCCTATCTGAAAATTCTTTGGAAAGACATCAGAGCCAAATTTGTGTGTTTTGTCACTTTCCCACGCAATATCCTTTCTATTGATGGGTACTTCTTTGTTGCTAATCTTGAACCCATACGAATCATTGAACAAACTCCATGCCACAAGGCCACAAGGAACAATCGGCTTATTATTATTCATATCTTCAGGAGCACAAGTCTTTGTATCAGACTCGGCATCTGGGCTTCGCAATTGCTTATCACTTCTGCTTTTTACATATCTGCAATTACACGAATGTATAAAAAACGTTAATCAGAGATAAGTATAAATACTCGTGGGAATGTTCAACTAAGATGACAATGCACTGCAACCCACCTGCGATGATTCTGGTAAAAGTTATCGAGCTCATAATAGATAAAAACCGGGCTCTGCATTTTCTTCGGAACCTAGTAAGAGCCAAGCAATCAAACATGCTAATCAGTGGAGCCAATCCAACTATCAGCTTAGGCTTTTAGTTTAGATGGAACACATGCTTCAATTTGGTATCAGAGCCAGACTAAAGGTCCTACGATCCACGTGTTGCTTGGAACCCACCACACACGTGAGGGGGTGTGTTGAGCCAATTCAACTATTAGCTTAGGCTTTTAGTTGAGATGGAGCACATGCTTTAATTATCAGGCAAAACGATAAAGCAAAGGCCAATCTAAAATGCTTAGAACAATTCATTACTAGGGAATTGGACTAACTGTCAAGGTCCTGATACAGGTCTTATTCGTTTTATCACTCTGCACAAACGAAGCCCTTTCAAGATTCGAATCGCTCTCATCCGTCTTGCTTGAAGGAATGCACTGGTCATCGTAACGGTCCACGATTTCCACCACCTGCAACCATACCATTCCAAAGCAGCAGGTTGGCAATGTTAGTCAAGAATCAAGAAACATACTTCACAAAAACACTATCTTGAAAACCGATTTTTATAAGCAGATTACTCTCTGTGATGCAGACAACGCCGCAAGGCCAATAGGCACAAAAACAAAGCCAATAGATATAAAGGTTGCAATGACCTGACAATGGAAATGAAGAAAATTTCAACAAGTTTGGTACAAAACATGAACAAAAGCTGCATTTAGTAACTGGAGAAATGAGTCATTTTCCTTTAAAAAAAAAAAAAAGTGGTTTTCGCACTTTTGGTCCCACGAGTATTGTGGGATTAACAGGATTGCTCCACCACTTTCGAATCTTGCAAACTTGATCCACGACTATCATTTTTTTTTTAGCACAAATGGACCTTCCCGCCAAATCTCCGTCCACGTCTCAATCATGCTATAAAGGGGAATTTTTTTTTCCCGGTCACAAATGGACGGAAATTGAGCCGGAAATACCATTTGTGCTAAAAAAAAAAAAAGTGATAGTCATGGACCAAGTTTACAAGGTTCGAAAGTCGTGAAGCAATCCGAGGGACCAAAAGTGCAAAAAATTCTGAATAAAATATAAACCTGGGGAAATGAAAAATAGCAAAATAACATCTTTCAGTCATAAACTTTGTCAGAATCATACCCATGCTGGTGTTAAAATTGGCTTGCAAGCAGGAAGTTCTTGCTGTGTAAACCTAGAATCTGAATCACAGAATAGCACAAACACAACAAAATCATCAATAAAAAAGACATTGCCATGGCATAATAATGCAATCAAGAATTACCCACCATGAAAAGATTAAGAATTGCATAAAATTAAAAGGTTAAAAACACAAAAAAGGTAATAAAACATGTCAGAAATGTACATTGTGGTTTCTTGGATTTCTTCGAAGATGATTGAGAGGCCCCATCCCCAGAGCTCATTATTGTGAATGTGTATATATGTATATGTGTGTGTGTATGATCTATCTATGTATGTATTAATGAACAATGTGAGCCTTGTTTTTGTTTTCTGAGAATTCTTGTTGGCAGAGAAACATGAATGCAGGCTGGGAAGAGAAAAGGGTCCTCTGAAAATGTGGAGATTTCGAGAGGAAGTTATTATTATTCATAAAAAACAAGGCAACGCATTTTGGAAGCTGAATGATTAACTGTCTTTGATAGCCTAACAAAAATAATAATTTTTTTTAAATATAAAATAAAATAAAAAAGTAATTATTGTTACAAATAGTATTAAAGTGGACATGGAGTATATAACGGTTGTAACGGGTCTGTTATTATTACTGTCCGTTACTATTGTAACTACTATATATATGCCTTGTAATATACTCTTAAGTCGTTGGAATAATAAGATTGTTATGGTTATATTTGTCTATGCAATTTTTAATATTCTCTCATTCCTTTTCTTTGTACTAATTTTGTTACGAATATAATCCGTTTATACGAAAATGGCTACGATCTAAACAAAATCATTACAACAATTATATAATAAAATTTAATTCACTCAAAATTACACTATAATGAACACTGATTGGGTTTCTCGTCACCAAAGTTTAGTCCAATCATGACTCATAATTGCAAGTGTATTCAACATTGTTAAAATTTGTGTTAGTTGCAAAATACACTTGTAAAGTTGCATGACATTTGTTTTTATCAAATTTATTCAAATTTGTTAATTTTTTCCATATAGACATCTAAGATTGATTCTTAATTTTATATTGAAAATAGATTTTCATGTAAGTGTGCTCACATATAATTTTGATAATAATTATCGTCAAGTCAACTACCAAACAAAGAATTTACTTTTGGCAACGACACACAGGATGGAATGGTGGGTGCGTGAGTGGCACTAGCCTAATAAGTTCTCACATGTATTCACTCTTTTTTTTTTTACAATATAATATTTGTTCATATATATAAAGTTTAAAAATTTAAAATTTAAAAAACACTTCATATTCATAGACAGAATACAATTGACAAATTTTATAACACGTTATACAAATTTGTGTAACAACCAAATATTTAAAAAGTTCCTATTAGAATGCTATGTCAATGAGTCATCCACTAGAGTCATGTTTATCAACAGTAAAAATATTATCAAAATAATACCACGCTAAACAAATACATAGTAAAATCATAACAATATTGCTCAAACACTTCACTAAAGAAACAAAATAAAACATCTCAATTGAAAACTTAAAATTATAATTCCACATTTTAAGATTCCTATTAAGGTTATAGGCATCCTTACAATACTTTCGATATTTTCTCTACCCTACAATAGAGACCAACCTTCTAAAAATCTGAATGTCAAGGGCAAATTACAAATATTGCAATGCTGACTTTCCCCAAGATATCAGCATTCTATCTTAAGACAATAAAATAAGAATCAGAACAACCGAACAAGTAGTTCATTGAGCAGAGACAAATTACAATCCAGTCTTCTGAGTTCTTTCAGATCGGAATTCCCATAAGCAAACCCAATTAAGACTTGTGAAAGTGAAATGCACCAAAATAAACTGCTCCTGCAAGATTTCTGAAAAAAGGCAAATTTTGGTAGATCAAACTCACAAATTTTAAACGAATCAACAACAGATAAATAACAACGCATTTTTAATATTAATAATCAAATGGAGCATTGTCAAATGGTAAATAAATTCCATAGAATCGGAAATCTAATACTACGTATTAAAGTAACCAACTCAACATTGACAAGATAATTACGACTAGTGAGATCAAACATTAAGCATTTAGCAAAACATAGGAAAACAAAACATCAAACAGAAAATACAATGGATCAGATTATCTGGCTTGGATCTCTGAAACAGAGAAACGTATGTAGCACAGTAATTTCAGCTTCGATCATCTGGGGAAATAATCATCACGCCCACTAAAATAATCAATTTTAAAAAAAAAAATCAAAACATTCTCACAAAAGATATGGATCAGAATATCTGGCTTGGAATTTCTCCGTAGGAGAAAACACAAATAGCGCTCAGTAATTTCAGCTTCGATCATCTGGGGAAATACTCATCACGCCCATTAAAACAATCAATTTTTAAAATTAAAAAAAAAATCAAAACATCAAAACATTCTCACAAAAGAGATGGATCAGAATATCTGGCTTGGAATTTCTCCGTAGGAGAAAACACAAAGAGCGCTCAGTAATTTCAGCTTCGATCATCTGGGGAAATACTCATCACATCCACCTCTTTTCAAAATTCATATCACGAATGAAAACCTAAGCAAATATCTCCAGATCTGAAATCTATAGCTCTCGGAAGAACAAGAGCCAAGAGTAATCAAACAGAATTGGAGAATGGAAGCTATAGCGTCGGCTCATACACAACGGCCACTGGCGATTTGAGGCCGCCGGTAATCAGTTAATCGACGCATATAGATACATATAGATATAGATATAAACTTTGCAGAGGATATCAAAGAGAGGTAAGGAAGACTGGAAATGATAATAAGAAACGATGGAGGAGAGTTTGGTTATATAGGAAATGAGGAGGGACTTTTCTAGGGTTTTGGCCTAAACCCTAGTTCCAATTACGGGGCGGGTATTCGAGTACTGCCTAAACCCTAGTTCCAATTACGGGGCGGGTATTTGAGTACTGCCCGAATGGACTCAGTGATCGGTCACGTGAATGCATGCTTAGTACGGAGTATAAATGGCCTCTTTGGTACAACGTAGTTTGGTTGGAAAAGAATTGAAATTCAATGGAAGCTGAAATTACATTGTTTGGTGGGAGGAAATTGTAATTTCACTGAATTGCAATTCCCTCCTTTTGCTGAATTACAATTCATGCCTCCACCCTAGGAATTGCAATTTCATGCTATGTGGAATTGCAATCTCATCATAAATTACTAATTTACCCTCATTGTCATTATTATATTAATATTATATAAGGACATTTTAGTATTTATTTACTTCTTCCCTCTCAATTCCCCATCACCTTATTCCTTCCTACCAAACAATGTAATTTAAATTCTCACTTTATTCTATTTCCCTCCTAATTCCTTCCTTCCAACCAAACGTCCTCGCCCTGTAAATGTTTTCTCTATATCATATTGAGTATAACTAGCGTTTCTCTATATCATATCGAGTATAACTAGCGTTGGGCAAATTATGTCATGGACCTAGGTTCAAAACAGCCTCGTTTTGCTTTAAAATGACACCGTCCCGTCTGAATTTAAATTACTTTTTTTTTTTGTCGTTAACTTGTCGTTGGTATTCAGAATTCGTTCTTCTATATTCACAATTTTTAAACTCTATATACAAAATTACAGAATTCAATATTCACAATTGCAGAACTCTATATTCACAATTTTAAAACTGAATATTCACAATTTGATATCTCAATATACAAAATTACAGAACTCAATATTCACAATTTTTGAACTCTATATTCACAATTATATCAATATTATAACATAATTTCTGAATCAATATTCACAAAATTTTTAATTACTGTTCAACTTAATACTATAAAAATGCAACTTAATCTAATTTTGCTATTTTGATTTTTAGTTGAATAATTGCGCAAAACATCTTCATAAAATGTACATGGTCCACTGTTGAGCCATCCATCAGTCCAAAAGAGCATAGCCTGTTGCTCATGTATTATTGTCAGCAAGAATCTCATCTGCTGTCTTAGTACAATAGGCAATACAATCACAAAGTATTCCTTTGAAGTATAGTCTCCACTCAATAGCTAATTTCCATCTAGCAAAAGACCTCTTCCTGGCAATAACACTAGTTTCATGTCCACACATGTTCTTGCTCTTACAGAAAGCATAGAACTCTGGGGGCACTTCTTTAATCCCCATGGATGTATGACAATCTGGAATTTCATCTAGGATGCTGAGCAACTGCTTGTCCTGTTCAAGTGATGTTGGAAGGTTGTCCAACAAAGCTTGACATTTCCTCGAAACCCACTCCATTACTGTAACTTCATTGGCAGCAGAAAGTTGTTTTCCTGTATAAACAAATTGCCCGATGGACCTCCGCATGTTCTGGGGGGTTGCCCATAGTCGCAAGGTGGAGAGTAAGGCAAACGATGGCTTACCGTTTTGATGAATGTAGATCAAATCATTAGACCAAGAACATAGCTGATACATTTCTGGTTCCATAGGAATAAACACTTTGTCATTTGGATTGTCGGGCAGCAGAAACCCATAATGTTCAAGAAGCTCCAAATTCGTGTAGGTTCCGTAGCTTAGAAGAACCTGCAGTGGCATTATCATTCACTTTCAATGGTTCCAAATGCAGTTTCATTAAGCATTTAAAAGGAGAATTGCCAGGAATACCTGTTCCCCTTTTCTGTAGTTTCTTCTAGCATAGAAGCAATAAGCAGTGAGGTCCTCCTCAAATCCAGCATCAATTAGCCGCGAGCCATTCCCACTAGACAACTGATCTTCAGAGTTTTCTTCTCCAGGTGCAGCATAGTTGAAGAAATCTCCCACAGGGCATAAGCATCCAGCGATATCCCAATCTATATGCATTGTCCGCGAAGATATCTTCAAACAATGCATGTTAATTATGTTAAATGTAAAATTATTAGCATCAAAGGTTGGTACCAAATACTTCACTCATAACTTAGGAACACTTCAATGCATTAGAGTTCTAACTCCCAAATCCTAGTGGCAAACCCAGGGTACACATTACTTACAGTTGCAGAAGCCCAGAGCCATGCCTTTAGGGTCATGAGTTGGGGCCTAAGCTTGATTTCATCCATTAGAACACTTGCTTCTTTAAGCTCCATCTTAGCCTTTTGCACAGCCTTTTCTGCAGCCCAGATAGCATCATCCACCTACAAAACATATGCTCAATTCAATAAAGCGAAAATGTCATTTTTAGTCCCTCAATTATGACCAAAGTGTAGATTTAGTCATTCAATTATTGTCAACTTGGCAAATTTAGCCCCCGGGGACTATTTCTGGCACCAATAGATCATTACTAAATCCGCCACTGACTAAATTGATATTGTATATACTTTGATCATAACTGGGGGACTAAAAGTGTCATTATAAACTATAGAGTTTACAATATACAAACTGTTTAAGATTCCAGCAATGGCAAACCTGCAAGGCTTGTATCTCAAAATGACCAAAATCAGCAAGGGTGTCATAGCTGCTTGGCAATTGCTTCAAGTAAGTGTACCACCAAGAACTCTTCCCTTTGTTCACTTCATTCAGCAATGCAACCCCCAATTTCTGCTCCAAAAGAAGATTTCACTGCGTAAACATCATTCATTTGATTTCCTTCATTAAACCCTATTTTAAGTGTAATTCAATCCAATTCACCATTTTCAGTCCTTCAAAAACGCACCTGAGTAGATGAGAGTGAAGTGTGGTTGCGCAGAGCACGAGAGAGCGATTCGTCTTCCTCCGCCAGACTCTCGGTTGTCATCAAGGCCGCCGCCGGCACTCTGAGAATCAAATCTCCTTTGCGAAGATCGCGAGCCGCCGCCAAACCTCTCCTGCGTCACAAGAACTACGCATCTCAGTATGTGAAAGCGCAATTGGAGATACAAATACATATGTACTGATTTACACACCCTCCGGCTTCGGGGAAATGGGAAACGAGCAGAGAGTGACCCAAGCAAGAGCCCGATTGGCTGGAAGATGAAGGAGAGTCTGTGATCCCCTGCTCCGCCGCCCATTGAAGAAAGCTTCTTAAATTAACTTCTTCTTCTTCTTCCATCTTTCTCACGACTTGTGCTGGCTATGGCGGCCGACCCGGCTGAAACTCAAATGCTGAATTGCCGGTAAATAATCTTTTGGGCTGGGCCGTTTGGTTTCTTAGTAAATGGGCCTTGTGCAGACTTTGTCTTGTTGGATTTTATAATTGGGCCAAAATTATGTTGGTGGACTTTAGCAATCGTTATATCGTGCACCAGGGCGCACATAGCAATGTACGCTCCGCGCCTCCCAAAACGTCGTCGTTTTGGTAAGTTCTTTATTTTCAGGTATAAAATTTTGTGCATTTTATTATATAATTATGTACATTCGTAACATGGGAATTTTCAGTTATAAAATTCTGTGTATTCTATTATACAATTCTGTACATTCTAATATGAATTTTTTTCTTAAGGAGTTAACAGCAGACACGCGAAAATATCCAAAACGACGTTGTTTTAGGTCAGGACGCACAATGCATTATGCGCCTTGGTGCACGGTATAATTTGCCGACTTTAGAGCAACCTCAATAGGAGTAATTTTTTTTCCTGAGATGCCAATTAGGAGAAAGAAGAATAAATAAATTTTTTTTAAAAAAAAAAAAAAAAAGAGGAAAAAGCAAATCTGACGCAAAAAAAAAAAAAAAAAAAAAAAAAAAACAGTTAACGTGTCAGCCGACCCGTGCACTGCACGCGCCCGACTAGGTGCTATATGTGCGCGAAATGCGCAGAAAGGCAATAGCCTTCTACCTTCTCTCTCCTACGAGACTTACAAAAAATTTTGGTCTTGCAGGATGAACTCACCGCTCTCTCTCCAAGCCTCTCTCTCTTCCACATGGATCTAAAAGCTGCAAAAACCTCACCAAAAATCATTGATGATCATGCTCTTATTGTTTACATTTAATATACCACTTAATTGTTTGCCTTATTTTTATTTATTTTTTTAAATGTATCATTATTTTAGTCATTAAGTATTGACGATTAGTGATTATAATATATAAATTTTTGAAAAGTCAAGAAGGATAACACAATCTCATTTAAAAGACATTGAATTTCTTAATTTAGCTCATCTTATTATATTTCTGTCTATAATTTACCACTCAAAAATTAACAGAATTCTCAGTGTGCTATCTCATTATTCTCATTACATGTTACATTCTTCTTACAATTAGTTTTGCAAAAAAAAAAATCCCAAAGCTTGTATTTTACGTTTACGTTGGGTCGATCCTAATAAAACTAACAATAATAGTTGAGTTTTCTTTAAAAGGTCGATTAACATTGAAACTAAATTGTATTATTATATAAATAAATATAACCAAAGACAATTTAATATCAATGTCGATTGTCATCACAACAATACTCTTCTAGTATTTGACATAATATTTAGCATTGTAAAAGGTTTAGCTCTGGCGGGGTCCACTAGCACCACTACTAATTTGGTATGGAGCACTAAAGTAGTTGACACGTGTAAAAGCAGACCAATCCCAAGCCCTTAACTTTGATAAGGTTATCTCCACCGATGAGATTGGGTACATCATCACATTCCACAAAGTTTGGTAATTCTTTTACATATTCAAATAACCAAATATAATGTAAATTATGATTCACATTATAAACTAGACTATAAGTATATTCTTTTTAGTACTATTAACTCTGTTATATTGTAGTATTTGTACATATATACTTTTTCAACTAAATGAAACACAAGAGTCAATATTCCATTAAAATTTGAACTTGTGATCTCCCCAACTTGTGACTTTTACAATTTGAAAGAGTCATAGTTATGCCGTTCGACCATAAAGTCATTGACAGATAAGTATATTTAAATTTCAAAATAAATAATTTGTTGTTGGTTGCTACGAATATACCCGGATGTATATTTCAAGTTTTCTCTATTTTGCCCTTTAATTAATTAATATTTTTCAACAGGTAATGCTAATTCTGATACACTCAATTAAGTGAAATATTAGGTTAAAGTGTCTCGAAAAGGACAATCGAGTTGGTGGATATGATTCTCATATTTCAATATCATGTGTTCGGTTATTGTCAATATCTCTTTAATTGAGTTCATCATATAAAATTATTTTAATACAATTAATCTTTCACGTGTGTTAGATAAGGGTAGTTAACAAAAAAAAATGGTCAAAGTTTAAGAAATTGAGATTCAATCAATATCTAGTTTGGCCCAAATTATATATCTTGGTCAAAGCTGACTCACTGACCAAAATCCTAAACTACTGAGTAGTAAAAAAATTAAAATGAATCTTTTTTAGAGCGTAAAGGCAAAATGCTTTTACTCTTATTGAGTGATATAAGATTATAATCTCTGGGGTGAAAAAACAATGTTTTTGCAGAAAGAGATGAGACCCTGCAGGATCACTCAATTTTATTCCCAAAAGCGAACAACAAAAATGTGATAAGGTGCCAGCAAGACATTCAAGAAGCAGAAAAGCAAACACCCAGAATTCTCCATTCTTGCTTCTTTCAACTGATGTTGATACCTTAGAATAGAACCCTTGAACAGGTTTGCTTTTCAATCTTTACTGGGTAATTTAAAAAAAAAAAAAAATTATTGTTCATAGTATAAATTACTTTAAGAAGTTATATAGAGCCTTTGCCTATTGGCTATTATATTGCAGTCTTGCAGATAACACAGCCAAATTGGTCAGGTTGATGACTTTATAAGTTCGACTCTCAATGTCTAATGGAGTTCGACTCCTAATGCCCAATGAGAGTTATGAGGCAACGAGAGTGGCTTATTGACCTTTTTTGTTTGAACCGATTAGCTATGAACAATCTAGAGAATCGAAGGCTTACATTCTTGTGATTCTTTGCCGACTAGGATCACAAGACAGGGTCAATGTACACCCTTGGCTCCTTAAGTAGTGATCTCTTGCCGGCTAGGATTACAAGACAGGAATAATGTATACTCTGGGTAGTGATTGCGGGTTTTCTTTGTCACCAAAAAAGTGGGGATATTTATAATCCAGTTGACTACATATAGAATGCATTCATTACCATTGAAAGTGTGATGCATATAGTTTCTTTTCTTGGGTCATAGTAGTCAAATGTACCAGAATTTACCAACTTAATTACTTTGTGCAGATGATGGGTGCTGTAGTTTTGTTTTTGTTTTTGTTCTTTGATATATGTATAAAAAAAGTTGGGATTTTTAAAGAGTTTTGAGGTTAAATCAGTATGTGTCAGTGACTCAGTGTGTCACTGAATATTTAAGTAATTTTTTTAAATTTATTTCATTGTGCAGAAGGGCATAGAAAGAGGTTAGCATCCTATCGATGAACACAAGGCATTGTGGTTGATAAAGACAAATTCATTGTGGTTTTTTGTTGGGATTTTATAATAGTTTTAGCAAAAGGCAAAGTGGGTATTGCTTCAATGTGGATACGCTTTAGTGGACATATTACATCGTTTACTAGTATAAACTAGGCCAAGGTAAAACGAGAAAAACATAAATAAAGACAAAATCTTGAGGTTGCTCAGAGCACTGAGGCTTGTTTCATCAGCATGTCTGTTGCTGTTGTGTGGGTTGTTTCTCCCGCGTCTGAGGTTGGGTCCGGGTTTTTGGATTCAGTAAGGGATGGGAATAATCGTGTTCTGGCTTGGGATAGGAGTTTGGTGTGCAATGACAGGGTTAAGTTGGGTGGGAAACGGAGGTGGAATTCGAGCTCTCTCAATGCAGATTTGAAGTATTCTTGTTCACGAGGATCGGGATTAGAGAATGGGGGAAGATTCTCGATTCTTGCTAGTGCAGTGGCTACTACTCCCGCTGGGGAAATGAAGATGACGACCTCCGAGCAAAAGGTCTATGATGTGGTCTTGAAGCAGGCGGCGATGGTGGATAGAAAGTTCAGATCTAGTGAAAAACCGGAGGTGAAGACCGACATGATTCTTCCCCGAGACTTGGGCGTGTTGAGTGAAGCATATGATCGGTGTGGTGAAGTCTGTGCAGAGTATGCAAAGACGTTTTATTTGGGTAAAACTCTTTCGTTAACAAGAATTCGTTAAAATTTAATCTTGTTTTATTCGAAAAAACTCACTGGCACGACATTTGATCTTGTTTTATCCTCCAGGGACCATGCTAATGACACCCGAGAGGAGAAGAGCTATCTGGGCAATATATGGTAAGAATTCTGGGCACCGCAATCTTGAATACATAACTGAGGTGTCTGATTTCAATTAGAGTGAACATTTAGATGGTTTGCAGGATACTTTTAAGTAAACAGCAAGAAGATAACTGCAAAAAAAGGCGAATATTTTTTAACTAAGGTGTAAAGATGCTAATTATTGTATTCGGGCTACATTTAAATTATTATATAGCTTGCTTTCACTGTCTGCTTAGTTGACTTTGATAGGAATCTTTGGCATAGGTTTTTAAATTTGGCATCACATGGTTTAAGGTTTTATGTCTTTCAGTGTTATAATCTTCTGTTTTATGTTAATATACATTACTTGTTTGCTTTTAAGACCAAGGTGGAAAACCGATGACTCGGGTTTTTGTGTTATCTTTGATTAGCAATTTCGCAAATAATTGGAATAACATAACCCTACAGATTGGAAATGTTTGCTGAAATTTCGGTTTGTGCTATATATGCATAAAATTGTTGTTTTTCATTTTCGAACAGTATGGTGTAGGAGAACGGATGAGCTTGTTGACGGTCCTAATGCATCGCATATAACCCCGAAAGCTTTGGATAGGTGGGAGGCTAGGCTGGACGACATTTTTGGAGGGCGTCCGTTTGATATGCTTGATGCTGCAGTATCCTATACGGTTTCCAAGTTTCCAGTTGATATTCAGGTAAGAAACTTTGCTCTTATTAGTATCCGAGAATTTTCGAGATTTATTTAAGGCAAACACGGGAATTACTTGTCATTGACGAGTTTACTTAATGCTCGATCTGATCTGCTGGCTCGTGTATGTTGCAGCCATTCAGAGATATGATTGAAGGGATGCGGATGGACCTTTGGAAGTCGAGATACAAGAATTTCGACGAGCTGTATCTCTACTGCTACTATGTTGCTGGAACTGTCGGTCTGATGAGCGTCCCGGTTATGGGCATTGCACCCGACTCGAAGGCCACCACCGAGAGTGTCTACAACGCTGCTTTGGCGTTAGGCATCGCGAATCAACTTACCAACATTCTCAGAGATGTGGGAGAGGAGTAAGTGCAAAAGCACCAATTCTTTAACTCTTCAAATTTTTGGTATTTACTACAAATAACCCGACAGAAAACAGAAAACAGAGAACAGAAACACGACTCTTTTGCATCAAATGAAGCAACAACTAACATAGTCATCTGTCATGAAAGTTTTCTTGACTCTTTTGCACCTTTTCTTTTCTACAGTGCGAGACGAGGAAGGGTGTATTTACCCCAAGACGAGCTAGCTCAGGCGGGGCTATCTGACGAGGACATATTTGCAGGAAGAGTAACAGACAAGTGGAGGAACTTCATGAAGAAACAGATCCTGAGGGCAAGGAAATTCTTCGATGAAGCAGAACGAGGAGTAACCGAGCTCAGCTCCGCCAGCAGATGGCCCGTAAGCTGCCATATAACATATAACCATAAATGTGCAATTCAACTATCAGCTTAGCCTTTTAGTTGAGATGGAACACATACTTTAATTTGGTATAAGAACTAATCCTTGTTAGGGGGCGTGTTGAGCATATAATATATAAACATAAATGTGCAATCCAACTATCATCTTTAGACTTTTAGTTGAGATGGAGCACATGCTTCAATTTCAGCACTCGAACAGAACACGAACATAAAACATCCTTAATCTCTGGAATGTTTCAGGTGTGGGCATCACTGCTGCTGTATCGCAAGATCCTCGATGAGATCGAATCCAATGACTACAACAACTTTACGAGGAGAGCATATGTGAGCAAGCCAAAGAAGTTGCTTATGTTGCCTGTTGCATATGCAAAATCTATGGTTCCAGCAAGCTTGAACTGAACATCAATGGGGGCTCGGGATCCAGAAACTGATGCATAGTACAGTACAGGAAGCAGATGTTTGTATACTATACAGATTACTGAAATTTCAGTGTAAAATCAAAGGTATATTGTATGTATATTCATTATTCAGTATACCAACTTCATGTACTGTGAATATGTTTTTTTTTTGTTTTTTTTTTTTTTTTTGGTTTTTTCCAGGGGTAAGTATGTGTCTCAGTTTCGACGGTTTATATTTCAATCGGTCTACAGGCTAGCAAGTTGTATTTTAATGTTGTTTTAGTGGGTAAATGATGTAAGAGTTATCAATGAATTATATGAAATTTAATATCTAGAATCTAGAACACTTAGTGAAGTTCTCGCTAGTATATATGCTTATTGAATTGTACATTGTCATACAAATATTGTAATATCATTTTTGAAAAAGTATCAAATAGATAGAATTGTTAAAATGGGCCACCCCAACCCATACAGGCTGGTCCGTCACGGATTGGGGAAGAAGTGAGTCGGGCTTGACCCGACCAGTTTTTGAATCCAAGTTGAAAATTTTGGCTCAACCCGACTAAACGGCCTGCCTGTCAGGTCATTATTTATTTATTTATTAATTATATTATTATATTATTTTAAAAATTTTTAATTATTCATGTATAATAAGACTCGGACCCTAAACATATTAGTGAAGTACTTATTATATAAATTATTAAAATTCAAAGAATCAAAAATAGCATTCAATATTTAACTTCTTTTTTGATATAATTTTATATGAGACTTTTGATGAGCAATTTTTTCAAACAAATATATTATTATTTGTCCCAATAACAACGATCCACATGAGTTGATATTACTAAGTCAAAAATAATAGGAAGAAACATTTTGCAAGGAAAAATTTTGTTATTTCACATGGAGGGGACATTGTTGTCTAGGGATAGAGTAGACAATTGTGGACTCCTAAGATATGGAAGCTCTTCCTTTGAGAGCTATGACACTTCTAAAAACCAATCCATAGTTTTCTTTGGAAAACCATTGTTGTTTGGTATATGCTGGAAAATATCCTGTCCATGTGCATTGCCAACCCCCAACATTAGATATTTTTAGAGCCCAGCTAAACTGGTTGGATACCGAGCTTGTAATTTTAAGATTATTGATTTAACTCTTAGTTATGAACGATTTATTAATCTCTGAATTAAGTTGGTCGGTTAAGTCTTATCTAGACTGCTTTATCTTATTGGAACCTTTTACTTGTTAGGACTTCGAGGATGGGACATCAATGTGCACTTTAAGTTGTAATAGATTTTCTTGTAAAACAAAGATAGTTTTAGATAGGAAATAATAAATGTATTCTTATAAAGTAAAGTTGTGTTACGTATTTTGATTTTATAAATAATAAAATGAAGAAAGAAAATAAACAATTGTTCAATTTTTTAAATCAATAAGAAAATGTCATTTAAACAAAGAGTTAATTACAGTAGAGGTCTCTTATCTTTGGTGACAATTTCAAATTTAGTCACAGACAATTATTTTTGTCATTTAACACCCTAAACTATCATACTTTGAACTTTTTGATACTTTCAATAAAATCTTATTTTAAGCAAAAGTATTTTCGTCTATTTAATTTATTTATTTTTCAATGAGTTAATTAACGCGGAGGTCCTTTATCTTTGGAGACAATTATAAATTTAAGTACAACCAATTATTTTTGTCATTAATAACTCATATTATCATATTTTAGACATTTTCTGTCCTTATGACTTTTACGTGTGAAATCTTATTTTAGACAAAAACATTTTCATCATCTTCTATTCTTTTTTTAATTTTCAATTTTCTGCACCAATTATTTTTTCTGATTTTCGTCTTTTCATCCATGGACAGCACCATCTCCTTTACCCAGCTCTTGTCTTCATCTTCTTCAACCCGAACTTAAATCGTCTTTCGTCAATGGCGATACCGAACATGAAGTACTACTGCGATTATTGTTTAGTTTGAGCGACACGTTTAGGTTGGGAATATCCAACCGACTGGTCGGTCAAAGTCAGGAAAGATTCTTCACATTGACCCGACCAGGTATACCGTACATAGATGAAGACAAGCTCAAAGAATATTCCCTATCACACTTTAAATTCATTTGACTATATACATTAGTGTAAAAGGCTCTATTTTTTAATTTTATTTTTTAGTTTCATCATAGCAAAACTAAAATATCATTTTAATTCGACTACTATTTTATTTAACAATATAAATATTTAAAAAGTGATAACTATTGGTTCACAATAATAGTAACAAACATAATGACATCATATAGGATAATAGCTTACCCATAGTTCATCATATAATAACTGCTTGTGTTTGTGTAACAAAAAGAAAAAAATTACCAACTTTTCTTGTCACTCAAAAATAAAGATACATATAGACAAAGTCAGAATTGATTGATCAAAAGATCAACCCATTGGCAGTCCCAAAATCAAGAATACTAGTGGCAAGGGTTACAAATTTTTCTGATCATATTTCATCAAAAGTGAACATGTCAGCTAGGTTTCCAGAATTCTGAGAACAGTACAGAACTCTCATACAAACAGCAATGGAAAACTGGGAATTTAGTTTTCAAGCTAGCAAAGGGGTTTGATTGGCAAAGTTGGATGTGCTAGCAGATCTGTGAGGGGGAACAGTGGGGGGTCTGTTTCCAAGAAAGCTGCCATTATTTCTCCTTGAGCTTAGAGATGAACATGACCCTCTGCTAGAAGACTTCTTCAAGTGTCCCAGCCTTGAAGAACTGCTGCTTCTTTGAGGAGGCTGATTATTATGGCTGCTGTTTTTGCACCCTTCTAGAAACAATCCTCCATAGCTCCTGCATGATTTGAGCTTCTTGTTGTATGGGTTTTCTGGCTTGGCAAGATCTTCTAAACTCCTCACATTTGATAGTGATGTGAATGATTGTGACTTCCCATTGTAATGCCTTGACAACCCCCTCCTGCAAATCCACAAATTAACCACACTTTAGACCAAGATCCAATCAGCTAATAACATCTTATGTTAATTTAAGTCACAAACCGAAATTTACTCATCCTTAATCCTCTCAGACAAAAAGTGTTGAGCATATAGTCATTAATGTGCAATCCAACTATCAGCTTAGACTTTTAGTTAAGATGGAACACATTCTTCAATTTGGTACCAGAGCTTGCTTGAAACCCACCGCACATGTGAGGACGGTGTTAAGCATATAGTTATTAATGTGCAATCCAACTATCAGCTCAGGCAGTTGAGAGGTACTGAAATGGAAAAAAAGAATGCTTACTTGAAGGGCAGTTCTTGGAGGAGGGTTGACATGTCTTGCAAGGGTTCATCACCATGGCTAGAACCAGAAGATGGAGACAGGCTATCTTCTTCTTCTTCTTGTTCTTCCTCTTCTTCTTCATCACCAAATAAATCTGAGTCAGAGGAAAGATCATCACTGCACACATCAGAGGAAGAAGGAGACAGTGATGATGGATCTTGAAGATGGGTTTGATCCTCATCCATGATTATCAGCTTCATCATATCAGAACTGAAATCCAAAAACACCCAAATCTGCAATCTTGTGCACTAAGAATATATCTGAGAAATAAAGACCAAATCTTTGGCCTGTGGAAGCTGGAAAGGTTGGAGAAAAGATGGGATTATTAAAAATGGGAGTGGGGAACAGAGGCGAAAATGGATAAGAGCAAAGGGCGATATAAATACATATTCCCAGGCCAGAATTATTTGATAGGTCAGAGATTCGGTGTTATCCACTTGCTATCTTTGTCACCCGACCCACTTTTCTCACCTGTCCCCACCGTACCATAAGCGGCAAATAAAGGCCGGGTGATATCCCACCCAGCTTCGCATCCCAGGCGCGTGCAAACCATAATCAAGGAGGGAGAGCGAATTATTGTTCTCAAAATGACAAAGGTTGAATATCCAGCCCAAAGTCTCTACACGTCGCGACCCGACAGAACATATAAGATGATGTAAGTTATGATAACTTAACTCAGCTGAATACATAGGTTAAATTTTCGTTTATTGCGCACAATAAGTCCTTTTCACTTTGAAAAGTTGCTCCCACACTGTTGCTGGTGAGACTCGATCTTAAATCATTATTTTAAATTTTATCTTTGTGACCAACTGAACTGTTCATGCAAGCATCAATGAGCAAATTATGAAACTATTGTAAGAGCATCCATAGTGGAGAAGAATATAGGGTTATTGTCAGATGAAATAACTTGGGTAGGATTGTTTATAGATATGGAGTGAGGTTATTTCAAGAATTATTTCTTCTACAAGATATAAGATAATGTCAGAAATTTTTTTAAAAAAAAACAAAGAAATGTTGTGCGCGTTTCGCGTACAGCTTGCCTAAAGCCAGGCGCGTTAGGGGCGCCAGTCGACACGTCTGACTTCACTGTTTACTATTTTTTAAATTTAATTTTGTTTATTTGTTTTTTTTTTTTTATCTCATCTTTCATATTCTCTTTCCTAATCACTTTTACAATAACCTCATAATATCCTCGATAATGATGCTCTAAGAGGAGTCTAACACTAAATTGTACGGAGTATATTTTTAAAGAAAAGTGGAGCGCGTGTTTGTTCATTCGACAGGGAGTCGCGTGAAGTTGGGTTACCCAAAGTTGAACAAGAATGGATAAGACTTCCCAGTTGTTACTCATCAAGAGGGCAAGTCCGACCTGGGGGCGCTCGCCGATTCTTTAACCCACTCGCCGCGTTGAAGTTCTTTTTCTTTTCTTTTATTTTTGTTGTTGTTGTTGTGAGTTTTATTATTTTAATTTTTCTATTCATTTTACACCTTTTAAAAATTACATATTTATATGAAACAAAGTCATATGTTTTTTTTTCTTTTTTCTTTTGTTTGTGATAAAGCAAATACTTTCTCGTTTTATGTTGTCGGTAACAAATGTGATATTATTCTCACTACATTATTGATATGATTCTTTAAAAAGAAGTGATATAACATAATAATATTTTTTTTTATTATTGACTCTGTTATAATGAAAATTGTGACTTGCTATTTGAGAGTGTCACAGTTATGTCGTTTGACTGGTCTTTGACAATTTAACAATATTTAAACTATTAATTTGAAGAAAGTTAAAAATGTAAACTTTGAAATGGTGTTAAATACATACGGAATAGTATTTTTTTTATATAAATTATCTTTTATTTATTTTTATTACATATTCATGAATTGATTAGCCTCATTATAAGGAAAAATTATTTCATAATCAAATTTAATCAAATTGTTGCAAGGTGTAAAGTCTGAATCCTAATAATAATAATAATAATAATAATAATAATAATAATAAATTTGGTATTACTGTAGGCAAGTGTTCAAGCATTTAAAGACCACTAAACAAGTTGTGACATTTATTTCCTCCCTCCGTCTTCAATACATGAGTTGTGAGTGGCCCTTTAATTTTGGGTTTGAACTTAAATCTAATCAAATGGTACCACATATGAGAATTAAGAAGGGTGCTTACCTAGCTTCATTATCTCAATTACTATTGAAAATAAAATTAAAAAAACGATATTACATAATTTAACTGAAACTTGAAGATGAAAACTTACCGCCACTAGAATTAAACACATAATCTTTGAATATGATAATTATGTCCAATCTATTCACCAACTTCTTTTGAGTAGAGTAAGTGATCAGCATATGATTTGGTGGGGGTGTTTTTTTTTTTTTTTTTTTTTTTTTTTTTTGGACAGCAAACCAAAGGTAGATTTATTGTAAAGGAATTGAGACAAAGTCGGGAGGGACAGAGCCCCAGTACAAACTGTTAGCATGAGAATAGGTCATTGTAGCTAGAGAATGAGCTAGACTATTAGGAGAACGTGTAACTAATTGAATAGAACATACATTAAACGAGAGCATTAGGTTCCTACACTCACTATATATTAGTAATGTCTATATAGGACCTAAGTTCTGGCAAAGTCGGTGCTAGATTATGGCAAAGATTAGAAAAATCCTATTGTAGTCGAATCGCAGTCACCCCGTCCTTTCAACCATGTGAGGGTCTCCTTGCACGCCACCGTTTCTACCATTAATGGACATGTGGAACTCGGCAGTGAACCATTTACAGCAGCCAGGAACACACATGTCTGCGAGAATAGGACAACACCAAAGGTGGCATGTCTCGAGGATGGATCAAAACCTGCGTCGAAGGAGCATACTGGTTCCGACCTTGGTGGGGTGTTTAACTTCATTTGTAATAACAATCTCAATTATTATTAATAAAAATTAACAACAATAATCACACATGTTATTACATAATTTGACTAATAACCTTAAGCTTAAAAAGAATTTTACAATCAATAAAATTGAACTACAAGGATCATATTTTACCAATTCCATTATAGAGTAAGTGAGAAGATGATAAGTTTGGTGGAGTATTAGTTGAGCCACAAGGAAATAAGATTGATAAGGTAAGAGGCGGCAGGGGCCACTCCAAGGAGAAGTGTGGTTTAGGGTTAATTTTGGAATAGAAAATGAGAGAGGAAAGGTAAAAGGACCGTACAGTGGTTAGGATAAAGGTGGTTGAAGGTCAAGATCAATATAGGGGTGAGTCAGCCTCCAAGAACAGTAGTAAATCTCCTCCACAGTTTCCCCACCATTCTTATCCATCCACGTCAATATACTAACACCCACCAATAAATATTTTATAACCTCAAATTTCTTAAATTTATCATACCGTATTTTAAATTTCATGAACTTGCTTTAAGATTATACACTTCTGCACATAAAAAGAATTCTTACCTTTTGATGGAAGTATTCTTTTAAGAAGTAACGCTGCATTGAGGAAATGTCACAAGATCATATTTTGATGGTGGAGTATTGATTCTTTAGACTAGATTGAAAAAATATATTGAACAGATACTAAACTTTAATAGAATCAATAGTACTCAAAGAAAAAAGAAAAAAAAAAAAAAAAAACACTACATAGACTTATTTCATACCTACCATTTCCATTTTAAAGTTATTTCATATCGCGAAGAACCGGGAGCGAAACGCTATGCCGGTGCAACGGCTCTTCTTCCCAAAAGGTTGAACTCCAACCCGACAGAGCATTTGGGACCACAGAAGTTAGACCTTTGTTTACGACCCCTCACTTCGAGAGATTGCTCCCACACTATCGCTGGTGAGACTCGATCCCTGGTTATTCTTTCCAAACTTTACCTCTATGACAAGTTGAACTGCTCATACGGGCCCAAATTTTTCATATCATAAATCAATGTATTGAAGTCTACCAATAAATTTTAAGATAAAGCCAGACGCCATAACACAAAGTACTCATTTTTTATAACCTAAGTTTTCAAACTTGCACTCTAAATCCATATGGAAGCAAATCGAGTCAATTTAATATCAAATTATACATATTTACACACGAGAGGGGCGGCAATTGAATCCCTTCAATCATAATATTTGTTTTTAACTCTTGTTGCAATTTTAATAAGTTGAGATTTGGAAAAAAAAAAAAAAAAAAAAAAACACTAATCATATAAAACTTGTCACTTCAAAGAGAGGCAAAAATTGTTTACGTAGGATAGGAAACATTTACCAAAATTTTAATATTTCAATAAAAATTTTATTTAATCGAATTTATTATTAGTAATATATATTTGCACAAATTGCCAAGCTTGTCTGGGTGGTGTAGTTGGTTATCACGCTAGTCTCACACACTAGAGGTCCCCGGTTCGAACCCGGGCTCAGACAAATGTAATATACTTTTGTGCTATGGAGATGTTCGCAGTCTATGAATGTTGGATTTCTTTTTACATACAATAACCAAACCGGGCTCAGACAAATGTAATATACTTTTGTGCTATGGAGATGTTCGCAGTCTATGAATGTTGGATTTCTTTTTACATACAATAACCAATAATAGAACAATGGTACTCGATTTTTTTTTTTTTTTTTGAAAACCAAGTTAATTGACATATATTAGAGAAAAGCTGAAATAGCATCCGGTGGGAAATCATCCCAGTACATAGCAGTAGACTGATTAAAAGCTATAGTCGCTAAAGAATGAGTTAGCAATTATTCGCCATAGGGATGAATGTAACTAAACAGTAATCAAAATAAGAAATTAAAGTCCTACAACTATCAATGGCATAGCTAACATAGGACCGAATAGGGTCCGTAGTAGTTGATAAATAACGATGTAGCTGCTGGCAATCTGTGTGCAGCACAAACGTTTGCTCTCCCCGATTCCTCATCCACGATAAAGCTTCCTTACATGCAAACGATTCTGCCATCAAAGGGGAAAAGCAATCTGGTAGCTCGGCATTGAAGGCTGCTCGAAAGGCCCCATTGTGGTCCAAGAGGACAGCTCCAACGGATGCCTTGTTCATTGCGGGCAGGTAACCTGCGTCGACATAACACATATTCAGTTGTGCTGGATGTTGCGTGGTTCCAGTCGCAATGGTACTCGATTTAATTCTGAATAATTTAATTATTCTTCAACATTTAGGTCTTGGTTTAAAAAAATTAAATTTTATAGTACAAAATCATGGAAGAAGTTAACTATTTATTAGTCACTCATACAAATCAATATTTGTCTTAACTTGTTAACGAATCGAACATAAACGAACGGAGGTTGTTCGTGTTCGTTTGTTAAGAATTTTGGAGTGCTCGTGTTCGTTTGTTAAGGTTTTTGAAAATCATGTTCGTGTTCGTTTGTTAAGCGTTCATTAGTGTTTGTTAACGTTCGCGAACATGTTCACGAACGTGTTCGTTAACGTTAACAAACATGTTCACAAACATGTTCGTTAACAAGCATGTTCACGAACATGTTGGTTTACGTTCATGAACACGTTCGTGAACCTTTAATAACCAAACACATGCACATATTCATGATCACAATTCGTTCGTGAACAACAAATAATCTACGTTCAAGAAATAATCAACATTCATGATCACAATATAATCTATGTATCTATATGTTTGTGAACATGTCCGTAAACGAAAACAAAACGAGCTTGTTCACGAACATTATTAAACGAACACAAACGAGTTTGTTCACGATCTCTTAGCAAACGAGCATACAATTGTTCAAGCTTTGTTCGTTTATCAACCGAGCTCTAAATTTTGTTTGTTAATGGTTCGTTTACCTTAACAAACGAACATAAACGAACGCTTACCGAACATGAACACGAGTAGTATGCCAAAAGCTCTATTTGCTGACACCCCTAGTCTTAGCACATCTAAATCGGTTGGATTTTTTGGGGTACCAATTAGGAAAAACGGAGAAAGAGTGAAGGGAAAATGAAAAGAAAGAAAAAAGAGATACCCAAAAACATTTTACATGTCTATACGGGTTGTGACTATTTTTTTTTCTTCTTTTCGTTTCATCTTGCCAAAAGTTGTCCAAATACCCCCAAAACAACACTAATTCAATTTCCTATATCTTTTCTTTCATCCAAGGCAACCAAAAAGTTACAGAGTATATACAAAAAGACTCGTCAAAAGTCCCATAACTTGGATGCTCATAGAACAACTTCAACAATGTAGCACTGCTAGGGTGTTTTTGTCAGAAGAAAACAATTAAATTAAATATAAAATAAACAAAGGAGGGCGGTCACCAACGTACACTAACATTGATTTTTATTTTTATTTTGGTGGGATTTACTGTTTTTATTTAATAAAAAAAAAATCATTCACTCTTGCAAAGACCTCATCCATTTTCTCTCATATTTCTCTCCATTCCACCTCAATCTCGACCTCACAAAAAATTATTGATGATCATGTCTTTAGTATAACTAGTAATCATGAACAGTTAAGAGTCATCCCCATCCCTACCCCACCCTCCAATTATCTATTATATTTATTGACTTCCTGACTGACATTGGACATGTTAGCAAGTTGGAGGATAAAATGTTAGATTGTCATCCGAATAACATGACAGATCAACTCCGGTTAGAAGTTTCAAATACTTAGACTTGACAATTGAAGGTGTAGGTTTTCCGTTTGATTTTTTTAAAAAAATGTATTCAAAAAAAAAAAAAAAATCTGGCATTTAATAAAAATTCAAGATAACATGACAACCAAAAAGGAATAAGAGCATGAGATATGTATGGGCACAAGCTAAGGGTATGTTGCGCCTTTCTTGCATATGAAAAGAAATGGTCAAAAGTTGTAGTTTTTGGAGAAAAGTTTAATTACTGTGGCCGGAAACATGATTAGTGTGTTTGAGAATGCAGGGTTGAAGAATGAATAAAGGCGGAAGGAACATGGAATCAACCAAAATCAAATTTGGTCCATAATACGGCCGACCGCAACATGGAATTGAAGAAGCACTTCAATCAAAAGCTCAGACAAGAAACCAATTTTGCTTCTTCGTACGCTAATTGCGGCTGCGGCGCCGCAACCAAATTAAATCTGCCTGTAAGCCACCAAATTACAAGATTTTGGCCTCGGGCTGTAGTATTGATTAGGAATCGTGTGGGGTCTAGCGTTAACGCCTTTTTGCTCCGGCGTATATACCAGAAATGAATAAACATCCAACAGCTAAGCTCTCTGTTCTCGACTGTCCGGAAAACTTTAACGATGAAATAAAAAGGGCGTGGACGGCAGGATTTGAACCTGCGCGGGCAGAGCTTACATGATTTCTAGTCATGCCCAATAACCACTCCGGCACGTTCACAAGCTGGTGACTAGTGAGTTATGTGAACCTTTATCGACAATGTAAAACTTTAGCATTCTTGTTCAGTTGTGGACCTCTGTTTTGTACTTTATATACAGGCCGGAGAAGAAATAAAAATGGCATGGACGACAGGATTCGAACCTGCGCGGGCAAAGCCCACATGATTTCTAGTCATGCCCGATAACCACTCCGGCACGTCCACAAGCTGGTGATTGGTGAGTTATGTTAACCTTTATCGACCATGTAAAACTTTAGCATTCTTGTTCAGTTGTGGACCTCTGTTTTGTACTTTATATACAGGCCGGAGAAGAAATAAAAATGGCGTGGACGACAGGATTCGAACCTGCGCGGGCAAAGCCCACATGATTTCTAGTCATGCCCGATAACCACTCCGGCACGTCCACAAGCTGGTGATTGGTGAGTTATGTTAACCTTTATCGACCATGTAAAACTTTAGCATTCTTGTTCAGTTGTGGACCTCTGTTTTGTACTTTATATACAGGCCGGAGAAGAAATAAAAATGGCGTGGACGACAGGATTCAAACCTGCGCGGGCAAAGCCCACATGATTTCTAGTGATGCTCGATAACCACTCCGACACGTCCACAAGCTGGTGGTTGGTGAGTTATGTGAACCTTTATCGACAATGTAAAACTTTAGCATTCTTGTTCAGTTGTGGAAGAAATAAAAATGGCATGGACAGCAAGATTCGAACCTGCACAGGCAAAGCCCACATAATTTCTACTCATGCCCAATAACCACTCCAGCACATCCACAAGCTAGTGATTAGTGAGTTATGTGAACCTTTATTGACAATGTAAAACTTTTGTTTTGTACTTTATATACAGGCCGGAGAAGAAATAAAAATGGCATGGACGGCAAGATTCAAACCTGCGTGGGCAAAGCCCACATGATTTCTAGTCATGCCCGATAACCACTTCGGCACGTCCACAAGCTGGTGATTGGTGAGTTATGTGAACCTTTATCGACAATGTAAAACTTTAGCATTCTTGTTCAGTTGTGGACCTCTGTTTTGTACTTTATATACAGGCCGGAGAAGAAATAAAAATGGCGTGGACGGCAGGACTCGAACCAGCGCGGGCAAAGCCCACATGATTTCTAGTCATGCCCGATAACCACTCTGGCACGTCCACAAACTAGTGATTAGTGAGTTATGTGAACCTTTATCGACAATGTAAAACTTTAGCATTCTTGTTCAGTTGTGGAAGAAATAAAAACGGCGTGGACGATAGGATTCAAACCTGCACGGGCAAAGCCCACATGATTTCTAGTCATGCCTGATAACCACTCCGGCACGTCCACAAGCTGGTGACTAGTGAGTTATGTGAACCTTTATCGACAATGTAAAACTTTAGCATTCTTGTTCAGCTGTGGACCTCTGTTTTGTACTTTATATACAGGCCAGAGAAGAAATAAAAATGGCGTGGACAGCAGGATTCGAACCTGCGCGGGCAAAGCCCACATGATTTCTAGTTATGCCCAATAACCACTCCGACACGTCCACAAGCTAGTGACTGGTGAGTTATGTTAACCTTTATCGACCATGTAAAACTTTAGCATTCTTGTTCAGTTGTGGACCTCTGTTTTGTACTTTATATACAGGCCGGAGAAGAAATAAAAATGGCGTGGACGACAGGATTCGAACCTGCGCGGGCAAAGCCCACATGATTTCTAGTGATGCTCGATAACCACTCCGGCACGTCCACAAGCTGGTGGCTGGTGAGTTATGTGAACCTTTATCGACAATGTAAAACTTTAGCATTCTTGTTCAATTGTGGAAGAAATAAAAATGGCGTGAACAACAAGATTCAAACCTACACAGGCAAAGCCCACATAATTTCTACTCATGCCCAATAACCACTCCAGCACGTCCACAAGCTGGTGATTAGTGAGTTATGTGAACCTTTATCGACAATGTAAAACTTTGGCATTCTTGTTCAGTTATGGACCTCTGTTTTGTACTTTATATACAGGCCGGAGAAGAAATAAAAATGGCATGGACGACAAGATTCAAACCTGCGTGGGCAAAGCCCACATGATTTCTAGTCATGCTCGATAACCACTTCGGCACGTCCACAAGCTGGTGATTGGTGAGTTATGTGAACCTTTATCGACAATGTAAAACTTTAGCATTCTTGTTCAGTTGTGGACCTCTGTTTTGTACTTTATATACAGGCCGGAGAAGAAATAAAAATGGCGTGGACGGCAGGATTCGAACCTGCGCGGGCAAAGCCCACATGATTTCTAGTCATGCCCGATAACCACTCCAGCACGTCCACAAGCTGGTGACTGGTGAGTTATGTGAACCTTTATCGACCATGTAAAACTTTAGCATTCTTGTTCAGTTGTGGACCTCTGTTTTGTACTTTATATACATGCCGGAGAAGAAATAAAAATGGCGTGGACGACAGGATTCAAACCTGCGCGGGCAAAGCCCACATGATTTCAATACCCATTCTAACGCTTATAATTCTCTGTTTCCACTTTCAGCCCGGTACGATAATCATTCATCTTCAATATTGAGCATTTGAGCCTTTTTCTCTGACTGTAAATGAGAAGAAATGGCTTCATGTAATGTGGATGTGCCGGAGTGGTTATCGGGCATGACTAGAAATCATGTGGACTTTGTCCGCGCAGGTTCAAATCCTGCCATCCACGCCCTGTGTTGAAAACGATTGATTAGGTTAAATTTTGTGGCTTTGCAGTCAGTGAAAATTTGGAGATTTTTTCCATCACAAAATAGATTTGATGTAAAAATATCTTATTTCTAACAACATAAAATTCATTATATGGTCACTGAATTATTGATATACATGTTGCTAAATAAACAGGTAATGTAGACAATTCATGGTATAATTTGCCATCATGTAATGTAACCAATGAATGGGCTTTGCACGAAAATTTTTCACTGAACTAATTTTCAATAAAAGGGTATCATCGTACAAAAAAGGATCAAATTAGCATCTCTATCGTATATAGACATGCTCCACCTGACTCTCACTAGTCACTAACCAAGGAACAACCAGATTATACTATCATTCAGTACAAATACAATGAGGTGGCTCAAGAATAACAACACTTCTATGACTGCCTTCTTTGTAGGCTGTATAGCATATCTTCCAAAGCAGAATACCCAGATCATGATCATCTGTTGTAGAACCAATTTTCAGGGCGTGTTCATAAGGCTGAGATGAACCTTTGGATTTTTGATTGCGTCCTCTCCTTCTCTTCAGGACCGTTAAAATCACCAATGTTGTCATGATATTCCTGTACCACATTTCATACATACATCCTATAATATTTGTATATGTAGCTTTAAAAAAGTTCAAACATAAGGTAAGAAGACCAAGTGTTTCGATCGTAGGTCTTTGTGATATAATATCTGTCCATAATGTGTATACAGTCCACATCCAAATGTGTTCAAAACATATGCTTTTGCGCAATGACAGTTGATGCTTAGAAAGTCATAATAGAAAAATAGGTATGTATAAAGATGATGGCAAAAAATAGCACTTCTAGTCTAGTGTAAATACCTGGAGTATATCCTTCACATCCTGCTTAGTGAGCTTTAGCTGCTTTAACAGTAGTTCGATCCTTGCTCTGATCCGAGGATGCCTATACCATACCAGGGAAAGAAAATAAGATTAGATGTCTACAGAGCTGGGAAATCATTGATCTCACTAGCAAAGCGTTATATTGATTGAAAAGAAATGGATATATCAGGTGACGAGACATACTCAGAAGTCCAAAGATGACCAAGGATGACAGCAATCAACTGCATAATGAGAGAGAGAGATAACATTAGAACAGAGACCGGGGATCTCGTACAGCAGTAAAACCAGGACATGAATAAGAGTGAAAAAAAAAAAGTCTGCAACCTGAAGGGTATAGAGACCAACTTCTAGCTTTCTGTTGTACTTCTCATCTTCATCCATCTGAAAAGATTAACCACATTAAGGCTAAAACAACCGAAAAGACTATTCAGAATAGAGAGATGATGGCATCATGATGTTACTCTTAGAATTCTAAACAGAAATAACCTCCAAATCATCAAGTTCAAGCTGGTCAAATTCTGCAGCTTCTTTTTTCACTCTATCTGAATATCTGCCAATATCAAAACAAAAATACAGAATTAAAGTAGATGAAAACACTCTCTTAGAGGAGGTAGTGAGATACTATCCAATATCCATAGTGGAGGAGGAATTATTCTTTTCCTTGATGGTTGTTATTTACAAAAATAGAAATCATAACAACAATAATGAATGAATGACAGGTCACCTAATGTATAGCTCCATAAGCCTGTCTATCTTCTCACACTCATTCTCCACAAATTTACTCAACAATCTATCCCTTCTAGATCCTCTCAAAATTCCACCTGCCATTTCAAAGCAGAATCAATCAGTATGGAAGGAATATAATCACGTTATAGTGCGAATGATAGTATGGGGATCTATTAACAAACATGAGATCATCAGGCTGTAACATGAGCATAGACAAGCTATCATTACAGTATAGAGGAAAGGAAATTGCCTTGGCAATTTCCATATCAAGGTGTCAACTCTAGCAATAAGAGGATACTAATATAGACACAGACCTACATTTTTACTTTTTATCTAATCTTTCTTGTGACAACAAGTATAAAAATATACAAAATAAATTAACTCAGGAACCATCGACCCTTCAAACTAGTTTATTGAGTGTGTGTGAGTATAATGAAACCAATTTTGCCTTCTTACCAAATAACGACGCAACTAGTGATACAAGGCGCTCTTCCAATTCTTCCTTGTAGCGCTTCTTGTTCTTTTTGCTCAATGGAATCTAAGAGAAAAAAGAAATTCAGCATGGTAAAGTCATGATATCTAGTAAGATACAGATGCAGAAGTAGAAAAGAGTTTGAGACCTTGAGGATATATGCTTCATTAGGATAAAAGATTCACAATATGAAATGTGAAAACATCCAAAACACCTTATTCAAAATTAAAATTATAAAAAGAAGTTTTTAAAAATGGTATAGGGTGGAATGTTCTCAATAAAAAGAACTGAATGTTGCATGACACACAAGCCAGTGTCAAGTTTAGGCAACCCTATGAATGAGAAAGCTAAGGGCGCATTCCAACCAACACTAACCTCGCCTCAGAGAAAGAAAGGTTGCTCTTTTTTCCAAGCATCCATCAAAAAATTACTAAGTTAACAGTAAATAATTGGGCCATAACAAAGCATATCATGATCACTGCAATTAGCAAGCATCTAATGTAGTTTACAATAAAAGGGGTGGCTGAACTTGCCTTACCCATGAAAGCAGGAAATGCAGTCTTTAGCCCCATTACGTCCACAAACCTCTCACAAGCTGGGGGGTAATTAGTCATTGCAAAGTCCAAAGCCCTTATAGCAGACCCATAACACAGTTTCTTCTGATTCATGATAATAATCATCAGCTCTACTCCTTCAGACTTCACAAATCTTTCTTTGTTCTCCAATGGCATCAACAAACAGCATAGAGAGTCAAACAAGTTCTCAACCAACTCCTCCTCGTCGGAAGTCTTGGGGTCCTTTGATTTGTAAGCTGCCACCGCCTGTAATATCGCATCCACTCCATTCATTTGCCCCAACCTCTTCTGATTGGCACTGCTATTCTGCAACAAAATGGCCAAAATCTCAGAGGCGTATTGCTTGTTGCTATCGAACTCTTTCACCTTGAGTCTTCCCAGTAACCACTTCATAATCTTGGTCCTCTCACACACGAGCTCGGCGACTGAGGGTTTCACTTCAATGAAATTCTCAATGGTGGCTAAAGTGTTGTATATCGCGGCTGACTCATCAGGATCGGCGTCGGATAATCTGCTGAGGTTCTGAACTAGTAGCTCAAGAGCATTATTCTCAATGAGAGCGTCGACGAGGACTTGAGCAGGCTCGTCATTGTCCTCGAGAACATCCTCGTCTGTGAGGTCCTGAAGAAGCGCAACAACATCGATAGCTATATCGGTGTTTTCATGATTGAGCAAGCTGGTAATGGAGGCAACGGTGCCAAGGTTCACTAACTCCGGGTAGAATTCGGGTCCGCCCGCGAGAACCTTCAGTTTCTGGATCTCGTCGTGGAGCTCCACTTCGGAGTCTGCGAACTTCTCCGGCTGGTCCGGGTACTTCAGCCTGGCGGCAATATTCTCTTTGAGGCGGCGCTCGAAGGAGAGCACAAGCTTTTTTACCGTCTTCAGGTCGAGAGCTTCGACGGGGTTTTGCTGTGATTTTTCAAGAGCTTCGAGGAGGGAGAGGTCAATTTCACCGTTCGAGACGCCCGGAGGCGCCGGTCGGCCGGCTTCGTTGTCATCTTCATCGTAGTCGTCGGCGTCTCGTTTGCGTTTCGAATTGTGATTGCTCATTTCCATGGATTTCCAGATGGATTCACTGAGCTCTGAACCCTAGCTCAATTCAGGACAAGAAAGAAAGACAGCAAAAACTCCAAGATAAAGTAAATGGGCCGGAATACATTTATTTGGGCCTCTATACATACAAATGGGCTTCAAGGGTGAATCCAACCACCTTGGACTTCATTACCTGACAATAGTTATGCAGTGGAATCGTGTTCACCATGCGCATGGTGAACACGAGATAGATCTATAATTTTTAAGTTGTAGATTTATAACATCTATACTGTAGATTCATAATTTTTATATCGTAGTGTAAATTCATAATTTATATACTGTATATTCACAATTTATGTACTGTAGATTCATAATATCTTTACTGCAAAGACGAAATAATGCGATTGAGAAGAAAAAAACGTCGACAATAAATGAAAAACAAAATTATGAATCCAGAGCATATAAATTATGGATCTACCCTTATGTTCACCATGCGCATGGTGAATACGTTTCCATAGCATAATTTGCATGTGGACTATAATTGGGCTCACTATGCTCTCCAATTCCATCAAATGCCAATTTGAGTAGAGGTGAGCATTGGTCGATTTTTCAGTTATAACATAAATAAATAAATGACTGCAAGAACCTCGTTGAGGAATTTGACATGGTGTGGTTTTCTCACGTCTAGAGGGAGAAAAATAAATATGTTGATAAGTCGGTCAACATCGATCAATCTAGTGTTCGGTGGACGTCCGTCCTTGATGATCCTCCAGATGACTTGTTGGGTCTCTTACAATCGGATGTTGAGGGTGTGCTGACCCGTAGAATCACTTAGCGGGGGCGTAGCTCCTCCATTGTACCAAATAAATAAATAAATAAATTTTTCACAGAACCTTTATAATTAGATTTTTAATAAGCTGATAATTGTAAAAAGAGTAAAATTGACATATTCAAAAAAATTTAAGTAGTTTCAAATTTAAATATGTTTGTTTACATATAAAAGTCTAACATTTTTGGAGTAAAAAGATGAATCTTATAAAACATTATAGAATTCGTATGATTGTATAGAATTTTAGGGGTGATTTTAAAGATATAATAATAGTCATACAATCAAGTTGATTTCTACCGCCGGTTGAGGATGTGAAGTAAATATAAATAACTTTGTAGCTCATTTTTGTAACAATTTAAGTGATAGTAAAGCTTAAAATCAAAAAATAAAATGTTTTTTTTTTCAAAATTAAATAAGAAAAGCGAAATTGAGAAAAAAAAATTATTTTTAAAATGCTATATAAAGTAACATCTCAAAATAATATATGTTTCAAAATAAGCTATTATTTTAATCTATTAATTTAATTTTTAAATATTGCTAAATAAAACTTATAATTTATTAAGTAGCTATAAGCCAAATAATTCCAAGCTATACTTTCCTAATGGCATCTAGTTATCCAAACCCAAACAATCCACAGCTACCCTCCTAATCTAGAAGAATAAGCATACAGAATCATCAAAATCAAACCCAGAAAGAAAACCGCCATGGCCGGAGTGGAGATACTGCCCAAAGAGTATGGATACGTGGTCATCGTTCTCGTCCTCTACTGTTTCCTCAACCTCTGGATGGGTTTCCAAGTTGGCACAGCTCGCAAGAAGTACAATTTCTTTCTATGCTGTATATGCCCTCTGTAATTTCATAAATTAGGGTTTCAGAATTGCTCTTACCAATTTCCTGGTTTCAATCGATTTGGTGAAAACTTGTGCCAGGTATAAGGTTCCCTATCCTACCATGTATGCAATAGAAGCTGAAAACAAGGATGCTAAGCTCTTCAACTGCGTTCAGGTCTACTATTACCTTTTTTTTTTTTTGTTTTTTCATTTTTCGAATTTGTAAAGTACAAATTGAGAAATGGTGAAATGGATTACAGGAATGTGAATTATAATGTTTTGCTGTAAATACATTTGTTGGGTGTGATAACAGAGAGGACATCAGAATTCACTGGAAAATATGCCTGTATTTTTCATGCTGATGATATTGGGAGGAATTAGGCACCCTTTGATTTCTGCATCCTTAGGAGCCATATACATTGTTTCTCGGTATGGCTATTTCACTGGTTATGCCACTGGTGATCCTACAAAGCGCTATACTCTTGGGTACGTCTGTTTTCATTAATTCTACTATTGATTGATCACTGGATTTGTGCTAAGTTTTTGTGTCTGTTGATAAAGATTCTCATATTAGTTTACAATCAAAAGAATTAAGAAATTATGATATGCCAGAGTGAAAGATGGAGTTGGTGACACAAATGTTATAACATCTGTCTCACCTTTTATGTGTATTAATGCACAAGTATTACTCTGATTCTAGTTGCACATGGTGTTTGACTGTCTGGTGAGATTGCGATTGACTATTGCTAAACTATAACAAAGCTATTACTTGAGTGTGTGTAACTTTTCTGGGTTTCTTTATGAACTGGGTATGCCAGAACATATATTATATCACTGTTTTATACAGTTCTGAGTCTTTTTTTGTATACCTTTTCCAATGCAGGAAATATGGTTTCATTGCAATTTTTGGTCTTCAGATTTGTGCAATATCCTGTGCAATTAAGCTTCTAACATCATGAACTAGAAGATGCTGCTTGGTAGTTGTCTCTTATATTTGCCTAGACAAATCCATTGTTTTTGGAATATAGTTCTCTGCGTAATAGTTGTGCTGTGGTTATGTTATTTTAACCTTTAAACGAGGCGCTGCCTTAACTGTTGTCATGTAGAAACTTTGCCAACCATATGGTTTTGTTTTTGGATATGACTGCAATAAAATGTATTAATGTTTGCATACATATCAATTCCTAGCAGCTCTTGTTTTGTCTGCATTTTTCTCTCTGTCTGCAACCTCCATGACTGTTATCATACACAGTACAAACATCTCTGGAAAGATCTGTTCCTCTTACAATATTTCTTCCTAGTGGTCCTGCTGCCATGAGTATCAATTTTCGCTCGGAGTTAATAGTCCGAACCCCTCGAGACGTCTCCCCCTCTAGGGACACAGGACATGGTCTAGGGGCTACTTGATGGGGAATATACTCCGAGCTATGTACCTTGTTGTGCTGAGAACTTGGTCAAGTACGAATCACCTCGAGATGTGGCTTATTTCCCGATCGGATCCGACTCGGATACCATACTTGACCGACTTGATTTATATAGGTTAAATGTCTCGATAGTGTGTGAGTTTCTACCTCTATCTTTCTGTGCTCGGTCCAGACCTAGTTACTTGTTGAGAGCCTGAGCACATGCACTTGACCTTTAGATGACAACTTTGACATTAACTCATCACCTGAGCTTAACAATCATTGGCTTGTCAGGCATCTCTCCACACGTGGATACGCGTCCCTTGTCACCGGGATTGCAAAGTGCATGGAGGACACATGTCAGGCATGTGCTCTCACACGTTCTCTATAAATACCTCATTAAATGTGGGGTAGGCGGAGTGTTTGGCAATTTCTACTTAACCTCAAGGAGCTCGAGAACCTATGAGTCTTTGACCTATTATTACGTAACCCGAGTTTAAGAACTTAAACCAACAAGCGGACTTATATAAGGTATTCGTACGATCCGACCTTATACCATACAGATTTGTAGGAATCTCCGTATGTACTACATTAGGAGAAATTGAGTGATTTTGGACCATCCAAATTCGTCGATTTCGGTAGGTTAAGTATAATTGAAATCTCATTGCATATAGACTAATTTTATTTTATTTTATGTTGCTAATGCTAACGGCTTTAATTGTAAAACTAAACAAATAAACGCTAGCTTAGTATTTATAGTCCATTCAAATGGTTCAACAGTAGCTTAGTGAAATATAAATGAACTATATTTATACTCTATATGATCAACAAATGCAGTCCAGTCCAATAATCCATTAAATTTAACCTGCGTGTGACGTATCATTATTTTTATTTCAAATATATGGTAAAACATGCTATTGAAATGTGTAAAATTTAAATAGGTAGGAATTAGTGGCCATTACGATAAGTCGATAAGCATAGATGAATATCAATCTAAATGAGGCAATCATTACGCTGTGGAATTGTGTCCACCTTACAAGGTGGACACATATCTATGTTCATATTTATAATTTTTGAACTTCATATTTATAATTATTAAACTCTATATTCATAATTACTGAATTATATGTTCATAATTATAAAGCTATATATTCATAATTTTTAAACTTCATATTCACAATTATTGAATCTTTATATTCATAATTACAGAACTATATGTTTATAATTATGTTCACAACTCTGTGTTCATAAATTTTGAACTATATATTTCTAATTATAAACAGTTTTAAAATTGTGTTTACCTTGCAAGGTGGATACGATTCCACAACATAATTTGCCTAAATGAGGGAACTAACGCCTATTAGCCTATAAGAGACAAATGTGTATTGTCGAGATCCATAGAAGTATAACATAGGAATAAATGAGCTTGGATTGGTGTGAGCTTATAGTAAAGTGAAGTTTATGAAGTTATGTTAGGTTAGTTGATTAATTGAGATGTGTTTATGACATGTTATTTTATTATGTGGTTTCACTTGATATGATTAATTTTTTTTTTTTTAGAAATTAATAATCTTTTATAAAATAGTATTGATTTGATAATCTTAATTATTTATTTAGAATGGTAACAGATGTATCATTACATTACTTATAACTACCCAGTAGTGACAGGACTAATTCAATTACAAAAATATTCATTTTTTTTGGAGTAACTCCACACTATATACTTCTCTATAATGGATAAATTAGGCAACTTTGACCGGGTCCAAATCCGTCTGATTCTAGCTTGGGAAACACTCTATACTCCAGAGCGACCCATTATAATCCAGAAGAATAAGCTTAAAGAATTATTCAGATAAATCTCACTGTCTCACTCAAAGTACAATCTCTCTACCTTTCGGAAAATCGCCATGGCCGGAGTGGAGATTCTGCCCAAAGAGTATGGATACGTGATCATTGTCCTCGTCCTCTACTGTTTCCTCAACCTCTGGATGTCTTTCCAAGTCGGCAAAGCTCGCAAGAAGTAAACTTCTTTCCCCTGCTTTTATATGCACTCTGTAATGGCCTAAATTAGGGTTTCAGGATTGTTGTTACCTGTTTCTGGTGAAATCTCACAGGTATAAGGTCCCCTATCCTAACATGTACGCTTCCAAAGCTGAAAACAAAGATGCTGATCTCTTCAACTGCGTTCAGGTAGATATTATCTTTTATGTTTTTTATTTTATTTTTATTTTATTATTATTTTTTTTCCTTTATCAAATTTGTAAGGTATAAACTGAGAAATGGTGAAATGGATCACATGGATGTGAGTTATAATGCTTTATAGTAAATAAATTTGTTGGTGTAAAATATGTGATTACAGAGAGGACATCAGAATTCACTGGAAATGATGCCTGTGTTTTTCATGCTGATGATGTTGGGAGGAATTAAACACCCTTTGATCTGTGCATCCTTGGGAGCCATATACATTGTTTCTCGCTATGGCTATTTCAGCGGTTATGCCACTGGTGATCCTGCAAAGCGCCTTACTGTTGGGTACGTCTGTTTTTATGAATTCTAGCATTGATTAATAGCTGGATTTGTGCTATAAGTTTTCAGTGTCGGTTGGTAAAGATTCTCAAACGGAGTATTAGTTTACAATCAAACGAATCAAGTAAGAAAACAATAAAATTCATGCAAATATCTAGAAATGATGATATGCCAGAGTGAAAGATGGAGCTGGTAACACAAATATTACCGCATCTGTCTCACCTGTTATGTGTATTGATGCACTAGTATTACTCAGATTCTAGTTCGTATATTTATGTTTGCTTGCACATGGTGTCTGGTAAGCTTGCGATTGACTATTGCTAAACTATAACAAAGCTATTACGTGAGTGTCATGTAACTTTTCGGGCTAAACTATAACATAGCTATTACCTGAGTGTGGATAACTTTTCAGGGTTTCTTTATGAACTGGGAATGCCAAAACATCTAGTATATCACTGTTTTTTACGGTTCTGAGTCTTTTTTATTTTTACTGTGCAGGAAATATGGTTTCCTTGCAATTTTTGGTCTTAAGATTTGTGCAATATCTTGTGGAATCAAGCTTCTAACATCATGAGCTAAAGGATGGTACTTGATAGCTGTCTCATATATTTGCCTTGACAAATCCATATAGGTCTTTTTTCTTCTGTTTTTGGAATAATGTTCTCTGCCTAATTGCTGTGTTGTGGTTATGTTATGTTAACTTGTTGTCATGTAGAAACTTTGTCAACCATATGGACATATTAGTTTTGTTTATGGATATGACTGCAATAAAATCTATCAGTGTCTGTTTACATATCAATTCCTAGCAGCTCTTGTTTTGTCTGCATTTTCTCTTTGCAACTCTGCAACCTCCATGACTGTTATCATACACAGTACAAGCATATGGCGAAGGATCTGTTCCGCTAACAATATTTCTTCCTCATGGTCCTGCTGCCACGAGTATCATCCCCCCGTAGACACTTCATTCATAACTGCTTTTGTAATTAACCATGTATATTCCAACCAGAGTTACCAATGCGCCCACCATTTGAACAAGAGTGAAGGTCTCACCAAGATACAAGAACCTGTTATTACAAGTATACATATAAATGTTTTTGGCAGAGAACCAAAAGGACATTGGCATGGGGATATGGTCTTACCCAAATATGGAAGCAAACATTGGAGTCAAGAAGGTCAGAGAGCTAAGTTTTGTCAGGCTGCCTGCAAAAGCACCAAATCTGATGAGGTAAAATCCCCATACTCTATGGCACAGGTTAGATATCAGATAAATTTACCTGTTGTTGCATTGTAGAAATACACACCATAGCTAATGGCACTGCCAAAAACTGAGGTATAAAGTAGTGCCAAAAGATCAGTTGAAGTTAGCTCCACAAAACTCCCATTAAGAGCAGGGTCATGATTCAGTAAAGATATAGCCACTAGGGGTAGACCACCAATAACCATGTGCTGCATTTAAATGTTATTACTGTAACTCAGGAGAGATTGATAGTGAAAAAGTTTTTTTTTTTTTTTTTTTTTTTTTCAGACCATGAGGTGTTTTGAGCGTGCCCTAACTGTAGGAGACGCCTTCAAGCCCGTACCATACTCAGACTAATCCCCATTCGCACCAGACCGGTCCAATTAAGGGACAAAGTGCTGACCAGATTGGTTATTCCATATGAGAGGGGGTTCGAACAACCATTTTCATAATTGTCCAGTAGCCATGATAGGTGGTGGCTCTCGAGTTTAGGGTATAAACCTTTATGAATAAAGAAAATATACAAGACTCACCCATCCAGTAGCCATGATAGGATCACAGTACTTAGATACCCAACGAACCATAACTGTGCCAACTGCCATGCATTGCGCAGCAAGAAGCATCCACCACTCTCCACTCCCCCAAAATGAAAACTTGCCATCTTCAAGCACCAAGACAGGTACCTGTTTGATGAATGATTTCATCACAGAAAAAACTGATGCAATCAAATGGATATATAATCACTGCTTTGCCTTGTATCCCAGCAAGAGTGCAGCATATATATACAGAAATGTATTCAACATACCTCAAGAAGAAGAAGGCCTATCACCCCCAACACAAGCCCTGCAGCTCCTATGAACCCGATCGACTCGCCGAATAACAGCGCAGCAAGGACAGATACAGTTAGAGGCTGTGAATCTATTATCACCTGCAACAGTGAAGTTTTGTAACATTGTCAAGAATCAATATAATCAAGGTGGTTTGTTTTATAGCCATAAAAAAAGTTACAATTTGAACATACACTGCCTAAGCCAGCTGATGTCCTCTCCAGCCCTTGAGCAAGAAAACCCTGTCCATCAATCACACAAGATAAGTCACCATCACGCCCGCACGGGCTTAGCTCAATGATTCGGTAGGTACTATTTGGGAGAAATAAGTCACCATCACTCTCAAACTACACAAAGGTTACACCCCCAATAATTTCTCAATTGATTTTGTTATGCAACATGTTGTCTATATTTGTCACCCAAGAAGGTGCATTAGAGTGGAAAAGACTATATTGCCCCTAATGGGAAGACCAGATGCAAAAAAAAATTTATAATGGATAAAATTATCTAAATTGATAATCAATAAGAAAAAATTATAAACTTAGTATTATATTGAATATACTTACTTTCTCAACTTATTAAAGCATAAAGAGTCAGTCAATACTCCACTAGAGGAGTTACAAACTTACAACTAAAAAATTATAAACTTAGTATTATATTGAATATACTTACTTTCTTAACTTATTAAAGCATAAAGAGTCAGTCAATACTCCACTAGAGGAGTTACAAACTTACAACTAAAAAATTATTAACTTAGTATTATATTGAATATACTTACTTTCTCAACTTATTAAAGCATAAAGAGCTCCACTGAGGCTCAAACTCACAACCTTTCAAATAAAAGTCCAACCCAGGTACCATTAGACTACATAGTCTTGATTAATTTTTAAATATATAATATATAATTTTATGAAAAAATTGAATTAAAAACACTTTAATTGAAAGCTTATGATGAGATGGATGGAATATTAGTGGGAGGATTTTTCTGCAATTAAATCTTTTTGTCAAGATGAAAAAACCTGAAAGCAAGCAGCATCAACGAGCGCAAAAACTGCGATGGAAAGCCAAGCAGCGATTCCGGAAGGAAACTTCCGGCCACGGGATGCGGCAAAGCAAACCAAGATCAAACCCGCCGGAATCAACCGGAACGCCGAGACGAAGAAAGGCCCAGTCTTGGGCAAAACTTGCTTCATCGCCACCATGGCCGTGCCCCAGAAGAAGAACGGCGAAACCAGCACCGCCCATTCCCACACTTCATTAATATTTCTCCCCACTACTTCTTGGCTCTTCAGCTCTGGGATCTCCGAGTACTCTTCTGAACGTGCGATCAGACTCTCCGCGTCCACGCCGGCGACTGAGGACGGCCGTGACACCGCCGCCTTAGTGCATGCCGGCGGAAGAAGATAATAAGCTTTTCTGCAGATAATTCTGGTGAAGAGAGACCAGAAGCCAGGGGACGAAGAAGAAGAAGATGTGTTCCATGCCATTTCAGGGAGTAGTACAGTTTACTTCATTGATATTATATTGCACCGAGTTGTAATATAGAACTGGCCGGACATGAAGAAATCTGCAAGGAATCATAAATATCTGCCATGGACCCATATGAAACAAAAAGGAATGTAATGGGGCCAAAATGAAGGAAATGATATTGGGATAATGCGATAATTTCACTTCTCTCCATCGCCGTCAAGTCACTATCAAATTCCTCCATAGCTGACCCGTTTACTACTTGAGCACGAGCTTAGTAACATTTTACTAATATATATATATGTGTGTGTGTGTGTGTAGATTTGTGACTTGTGAATTGTGGATTGTGGATTTATAGAGTTATGATCTTTTGATTTGTGGTTTATGACTTTATGAGAATTATGGAGATTTATTAGATGTTAGCTTGTTAAGTTTTTTGAGACTTGCAATTACATGATGTGTTTTGAATTGAAATTTGGAAATGATGATTTGAATTGGAATTAATTATTAAACGTGACTAGTTAATTTATTTTGGACGAAATAAATAAATGTTTAATGCATTTGTGATCACTACTACTCTATATAAAGTAGTGCTCATTTCGCTCCATCAGATGTGGATACTTATTCTCAATTTTTAATTTTAGTTCATATAGTTCAAACCCGCTATCATAATTCTGAGGCATAGCCTCTCTTTCCTTTATATATATATATATATATATATATATATATATATATATATATATATATATATATAGTTCAACTTGCTCGATAAGTTCTACAACCCAGAGTTTAGGATTAGGGTCACCCCGAACTAAAAAATAAAATAATAAAATAATTAATTACCCCGAACCGTTAAGTCCAATAGCACGACAAAATTATCTTAAAAGTTGACCCGATTAACACCCCTAGATATGTTCCCTTTGAAACCACCTGAAATTATGCTAAAAAATTTAGAACTCCATGAAAACAAATACAAATTTTTGTATTGTGTGATAATTGTATACATGTATATAACTCTAAAACTAATTAAGTTCAATTAATTCAAAATAATTCGTAACCAGTTTGGTTGGCGTGAGTGACCTTGTATTCTCATCTCTTAAGAGATGTTGGGAGTTCAAACTCCATCTTGTATGAAAAAATAAATATGGTCAGCACATTATGTTTTTTTTCTAAAATAATAATTGTTATGCATAGTTTGATATAATTATTACAAAACAAAAATATTATACAATAATTTATATAATGGAAAAAAAAGAAAAAAAGAAAAAAAAAAAGGTGCAAAAGACAGATTTCTCCCTTCCCTCCCTCCTTATCTTCCCCGAACAGAGATTAGAGAGAAAGCTAGCCGTTCTCTTTCCCGTGAGAGAGATAGTCGGGGGGGCGTCCTTAAACACACAAGACGAGGTTTGCAGCTCCTATGTAAGCTTCTCTCTCTCTCTCTCTCTCTCTCTCTCTCTGCAATTTTCAGTAGCTTATCTCTTCTCCTTAACGCCAAATTTCTGGCTGCTGAAGGCGTTACAATACGGGCTGAAATGCTCAAAACCCATTGTTCATTTGGTTTTGCTTTTCTGCTATTTTATTGTTTTCTTTCTGTCTGGGCGGGGAATTAAAGGTTTTGTTCTGCAAAGGGTATTCATTAATCGAAGTTATACGATGCATTGTTCCCACTGCGGTTTTGGACAGTGTGAACTTCTCAAAGATAAATTTTTTGAATAGTTTACAGGAATTTAACTTTTTTTTTTTTTTATGGTGAATTAGCTCAATTTCTGATTAACTCAAACCAAAAGGCCAATAGGCCGCTTCAGCTGGAGTCGAATTTGTATAGTTTTATCATGGCTGGTTGATGCTGTGCATTATGTTTTCTAAAGTTTCTTCATTATTTGTTTGAAGTTTCAATTGAGGTGGCTTGAATCAGGGGAGTTGGTTCAGTGGATTAGCATGCTGTGAAGATGGTTTTGATTACACTGATCCTTATAATTCATCAATGGTAATTATTCCAATCTATTAATTGTAGTCTGTAGACAAGTATACAAATGCTAGTTAAGTAGTGTAATCATCTAACCAGTTTGGTTGGCATGAGTAGCCGTGCACTCTCATCCCTTTAAGAGGTCTGGAGTTCGAATCCCCTCTCGTATGGAAAAACCAATCTGGCCAGCACTTTGCTCCTTAATTGGGCTGGCCTGGTGCGAATGAAGATTTGTCTGAGTATGGTACGGGCTTAAAGGTGCCTCTTACAGATAGGGTCTGTCCAGGACACCTCATGGCCTGACCAAAAAAAAGTAGTGTAATCATATGATATTTGGCACATCTCTTGCCTTTCTCACATGTTAAAATTCAGATATAAGTAGAAATCAAATTTTGGGCTGGCCTGGTGCGAATGAAGATTTGTCTGAGTATGGTACGGGCTTAAAGGTGCCTCCTACAGATAGGGTTTGTCCAGGACACCTCATGGCCTGACCAAAAAAAGTAGTGTAATCATATGATATTTGGCACATCTCTTGCCTTTCTCACATGTTAAAATTCAGATATAAGTAGAAATCAAATTTTGGGTAGGAGTGTTTTGTCATATTACATTAGTAAGTTCTTATTTTCTTTATTATGAAGCCCTTGATGTGTTGTCTTTTAGCAGATAATGGATGCTGGAACGTTTAGGTGTGACTCTGTTATGAAGGGAGATATGTTCACATCAAGTGATGCTTTAAGGAAAGCTGGGCCTGAATTCTCGATCTTGGGGCATTTTCCGTTTAAACAAGGTAAATCCTTTGCGTTGAGTGGATCTCATGCTAGAAGGCCTTTCGATGGTGTGTTCAGATCGTGGATGGTTGAGAGATGTGCTCCTTTGCATCTTTTCATTCCCCGTCCAGTTAGAGGTATTACTTCTATGTTGGTGTCCCCTATTTATGGCTTACCAAATTTGTACTTTTCAACACTAAAATGCTTCTAGTAATGTGACAGATGAACACAAGGCCGTGAAATGCTTTAAGAATGATTCATCTGTCTTGAACCACATCCTAAATGACCTCCTAGTTGAGGACAAATTTTTTCCCGAGGAAACAGATAAATTTTTGTCCGAGGAAGCAGATATAAACTCGGATCACAGCAAAAGTTTACCAAGAAGAGACCATTTTGTTGAGGAGCCTTGGCTATTACAGCCGTCATTGCTTTCTCATCATTTTGAAGAATCAGATGCTTCGGGTGTTGTTGTTGATGATGATAACGAGTATTTTAAATGCCTCGATAATGACGATCTTGATACTAGGTTCTTAAACCATGAATCTGCTGATGGAGAATCTGGGATTGAGTATCTAGTTGAAGTTGCTACAACAGATAAGAACAGTGACTTTTCGGGAACCTGTTATGGATCAGGTTTTCCCGTTGAGGAGCCCTGGCTTTTCGAATCAACAATCGATTATTCCAGGTGTAATGACAAAATGATCCCTGAGGTGTCTACTTGCGAAGAACATGAGAAGCTGTTGCCTGTTGAAAATATTGTAATTTCTGAGAAGGAATCGGTTACAACAGTTATATTAATAAACTCGTCTATTTGCACAATGCAAAGGATCGCTGTTTTAGAAAACGGGAGATTAGTGGAATTGTTGTTAGAACCTGTCAAAAACAATGTGCAGTGTGATAGTGTATATCTAGGTGTAGTTACTAAATTAGCCCCCCAGATGAATGGTGCATTTGTAAATATTGGTTGCCGCCAAACTGCATTCATGAATATTATTTCCAGAAAGAAGCCCTTTGTATTTCCTCAAGATTGTGATGATAGCAAAGGTAGAGAAATCAATGGCTTCGAGTCTGACAAGTTTGCAGAAAAGTCAGATCTTCCCGAAACTGAAGCTAATCTGAATGAAGCCATAGAGGATGATGAGATAGATGATGATTCTGTAGAATATATAGACCATGATTTCGAGGAGAATGAAAATCATGATAGGATTGACGCTTCTGAAGTCCTTGAAATTGGTAACGGGGTTGAAACTCATCTTTCGAAATCACTGAATAAGTTTGAGAAAAATGGTCACCAGGAAGAAAGTAAAAGACTCGAACAAGATTCCAATAGATGCAAGAAAGGAGAAAGCAAGTGGGCACAGGTTCGGAAAGGCACTAAAATAATTGTACAAGTTGTTAAGGAAGGATTGGGTACAAAGGGCCCTGCACTCACTGCTTATCCAAAACTACGAAGCAGATTTTGGGTATTTGACATTCTTTGCTCATCTTTTTATAGCTAATAGTTGAAAATATTTATTTACCGCCATTTTTTTTTTTTTTTTTTTTTTTTTTTTTTTTTTTTTTTTTAAATCCTTGTGGCTGCAGGTTTTAAGTGCTAGCAGTGACATAATAGGGATTTCAAAGAAAATATCCGGTGTTGAGCGCACACGTTTAAGAGTCATAGCGAGAACTTTACAACCTCCGGGTTTTGGTCTTACTGTAAGAACAGTTGCTGCTGGCCATTCATTAGAGGAATTGAAGAAGGATTTGGACAGTTTGCTTTTGACTTGGAAAAGTATAACCGAGCATGCACAGTTTGCTGCTCTTGCCGCAGATGAAGGAGTAGATGGAGCAGTTCCCGTTATGCTTCATCAAGCAAAGGGCCAAACGCTCTGCATTGTCCAGGATTATTTTAACGATAAGGTGTACTATTCTCATGCAATTTTTCATAGTTTTTTTACTTTATTGTTGAAGATTTCGCCCGGAAATTTTTATTTCGTATAGTTTCATGATTAACATAATTTTTGACTTTTTTTATGATTGCCTTATATTCAGGTTAAAAGCATGGTGGTTGATTCTCCAAGGACATATCATGAGGTATAGATAACGGGTCGTCAGTTCTCTAAAAAGCAGTTATAACCAGCTTGGTTGGCGTGAGTGGCCGTGCACTCTCGTCCATTAAGAGAGGTCGGCAGTTCGAACCCCCTCGCGTATAGAAAAACCAATATGGCCAGCACTTTGCCCCTTAATTGGCCCGGTCCGGTGCGAACGGGGATTAGTTTGAGTATGGTACAGGCTTAAAGGTGCCTCCTACAGTTAGGGCCTGCTCAGGACACCTCGTGGTCTGACAAAAAAAAAAGGCGGTTATCCAAGAAACACACAGTGCTTGTTTATGCTTGCATGATTAGGTTTGTTTCACATCGAAGATGATGGGTGTAGAATGTATGGTTTTGGGCCGGGAAATATAGACTTCTAGCATGCCTCTGTGATTTCATTAAGTGTTTGAACTTAATCTACTTCTTGTAGAATGGTAGAATCTTTATTGACTTTGTATTGTTGTTTTGTTCAGGTTAAAAACTATCTTCAGGAAATAGCTCCCGATCTATGTGGCAGGGTCGAGTTATACAACAACAAAACTCCCCTCTTTGATGAATATAATATCGAGGGCGAAATAGATAGCATTCTTAGCAAAAGGTGAGAGATAAATATGTTATTTTATTGTAAAGGCAATGCATATAGTAATTTCAATACTTAGGGGGTGTTTGGTGAATAGATGTAGCTGATTGGGTTAGTGGGTTTGACTAGTTGATAGCATTAGCTGATTGTAGAAAGATGTTTGGTAAATTAGCTGTTAGCTGATAACTGATTACATGCAAAATGACTTTCTCAAAAAGCTGATAAAAAAACATGCTTTGAGCAACTTTTTTGAATTTTAGCATTTTGGATTCAATAAGCTGTTACAAAAAGTTAATTAATCAAACACTCATATTTGCTATTTAACCAAGTCAAACAGTTAATAGTGGTCAAACAAGCCAAAATTGGCTGATAAGCTAACTATGTTACCAAACAGGGCCTTAATCTGATTCAAGTTCTTAATTATGAAAGCTTGTGGAGAGAGTTTTTTCCACTTTTGGTCCCACGACTATGGGATCATTTCCAGATTTGGTCCCCGACTGTTAATTTTTTAACATTTGATCCCACGAATTTTAAATCCTTTCCACATTTGGGCCCTCCGACCTAATTTCCGGTCAGTGGTGACCAAATTTCAGGCAAGTGATTTATCTTGAAGAGCAAAATTGTCATTTCCGGTACCCTCCCCGAGAAGTTTTTTTTTTAAAAAGTAAGAAATGACAATTTTGCCTTTATATTGGCCTCACATTCATATTCTTTAGTTAATGCTATTTATAGTACTAAAAAGTATTGTGTATTTCAGTCTGTAAACTAAAACATCAGTGACTAGATTAAGCATTAGTAAATACGTGAGCCTAATTGTGGTAGTAAATTTTGCAGGGTTCCCCTTTCTAATGGAGGTTATCTGGTGATAGAACAAACGGAGGCATTATTCTCCATTGACGTTAATGGTGGTCAGTGTATGCTCGGGCAGGGGACGTCACAAGAGAAAGCTATTCTTGATGTCAACCTTGCGGCTGCTAGACAAGTACGTAAATCACAAATCCTAATATATATACTTCTGCTACAACTAATAAGTGATGTGAACATTTTAATGTACTATTCCCTTTGGCATCTCCGGGTATTTGCGTTTATGGTTTGTAGTATATCCTTTTGGAGTTGCTAAAATGTGTCATGGACCGTCATTTGTTTCACTCTTACAACTGTGGTTGTTGAAAAAGTATACTTAAATATTCGACGAATCTCCAGATTGCTAGGGAATTGAGGCTGAGAGATATCGGTGGCATTATTGTGGTGGATTTCATAGATATGATGGATGATTGTAAGTATATAATGTATATAGAGCTATTCATCGTAAGATATTTTACCTCCATTTGCTTTTACGTAATATTGTGTACTTTTAACTATTCTTTTGTCACAGCAAATAAGAGATTGGTCTATGAAGAAGTAAAAAAGGCTGTTGAGAGAGATCGATCGACCGTCCATGTCTCTGAGGTATCCAGGAATGGGCTTATGGAAATCACACGGAAACGAGTATGTCAATTGCTTTCATAGGTTATTCTTGTAATTATGGATTGTTCAACCGATTAAAAGAGTGTCAAACTTATCATAGCAAAATTCCGAAACCTAGATAGGCTATTGGCCCATTGTTTTAACTCTTATGTTTGTGGCAGGTTCGACCGAGTGTGACATTTATGATCAGTGAGCCATGCACCTGTTGTCACGGTACTGGGAGAGTGGAAGCTTTAGAGACTGCATTTTCCAAGATTGAGCGTGAAGTTTCTCGTTTTCTGGTAAATGTTTCTTTAATAATACGACATAAGTATGCATTTATAATTGATTAGAATATCGTTCTTGTTTTTATTCGTTTCTAAAGCACTAATGTTACGCTAGAGCTTTGATAGTCGAGTTTATCCCGTTTGATCCACTTTCTCCGTAGGGTTTAACATGTTTTTTTTTTGGATATTGCAAAATCTTCCATTCACTAAACTTTCTATATTTTCATTATACTTGATCAGTCAAGAATGGATCAGAAATCAGACCCTCGAGATCCCAATTCATGGCCCAGATTTATTCTCATGGTTGATCAGTACATGTCCGACTATTTGACTAAAGGAAAGAAGTCGAAGTTAGCAGTATTGAGTAGCTCTCTCAAAGTTTGGATTGTACTAAAGGTATGCCTAATCAACTTTACATTCTTGACTTCCTTTTTGCGCCTTTTAGCCATAAATTTGCCTTAACATTTGGGAGCTGAATTTTACTTTCGGGTTTTAATCTTCGGTAGGATGAGTGGACAAGCGGTTTCTTTGTAAATTCAAACGGAAAATTGGCCTTCATATTGTTCTACAAAAAAACCAAAAACATATTATTAACCCAATCTAAACACAATTACATACGAGACTTTAAGACAAAAACTACTCTTGGGTGCAAAAGGTGAAAACCCTCGCCCCAGGGGCCCTCACACCCTGGCCCTACGGGAAGCGGCCCCTTAGGTGGGGGTACCAGTACTTGGTGCCCACATGGAGCCACCCCCACACTGCGGCTGCCGGGATTTGATCCTGTGTCATTGAATACAATCTGCCACACCGGAACCAACTGAGCTATCCGTGAGGGCTAGATAAACACTACTCTTGAATTAGGTCTAGGAGGTTTAACCTTAAACCACAAACTTGGTTCTGTTGACTCATGAATTTATTGTTGGAATTAATCGAATTCCTATTGCTACTCACAATATAATTGATTTTCAGTGCTTCACTATATTTCAACCGCATTCTATGAAGTGAGAAATCCTCATGAATTGAATAGTTCTCCGCCTATTTGTTGACATTTTGCTCTACGGTCTACAACTTAAACGTTTACGCCAATTAGCATTTCTTCAAATTGACCTTTTTTTAAGTTTTGAGGTCGATCTAATGTGTTGTTCAGGTTGCTAGAAATTTTACGAGGGGGGCGTTTGATTTGAAACCCTTGACAATCGACGAGTACAACAATCAAAACCGACCTCCCATTCCAATATTATGGCCTGCCGAGGCTGGGACTGGGAGTCACCCTCACAAGAAGGTGACACTCTTCCCCATCAAGAAGTCGAAGACTGGTCGAAAATGATAGCGACCATTTGAATTGATGATGACGAGTCTGGTTTTGTGTTTTTCTGCTTCAATCTCATGTTCTGCATTTCCCCGCCGCAAATAGGTTCTCTATAGCAATATCGAGTTTTGTGGACGAGCCATTTTAACTACAGGGTATCTATACTCGAGAGAAAGCTTTGGCAAACGACTTTGACAGTAATTTAACACAATCTTGCAAGGAGAGAGTGCTATCGTGCTAAAGCAAAGGGAGCAATCCGTTTATCATTTGCCCAAAGACTTGTGTGACAAATACAAACCGGGAAACACACGGGCATATTTCAAGCAGGCGGGCGAGGGGGCGACAAGCAACAAAACTAACATTTTGTAACCGGGGGTAAATAGACGACCTGATGAGCCATTGACAACAACAGCGACAAGACAGGATATCGAACCATGTATAGTGTCTCGACTTTTCTCTTCAATTTCTCGTGCTGTTGGGTTGTGGTTCCATCCTGTATATGTTGCTTGGAGCCCAGGAAAAGTGGTACAAATGGAAACACACTTTCAGGAATCCCTCTGCATATCAATCTGTGTTTTAGAACTGTTCATTTGGTATATGTCAAGCAAGAGGTTAGAGGTGTATGCACATTTTTTCTGTTTTGGCTATACATGAGAGTACAGGCAATTTTTTATTTTTATTTTTATGTCTTATCATTTCATGAAATAATGAATATTTCACAACTGTATCATATTTTTGGATATTTTGAACTATTTAGGAAATCAACTATTTAATTGTGGGACTCATACATCTAACTGAAAAGGTAGTAGTCAATAAGTTAACTAATTGAAATTAATGTGTTTGTTAAAATTAATTGTTGAATTAGCTGATAAATGTAAAAAGACATAAAAGGATAAACTAAGATATTAGGATTTTGATTAGTAATGGGTAAATTTTGTTATTTTTGTAAATTAATAAAGAAAAACAAAATTAAAAAGTTAAAGAGTTTATTTTGAGGATCATATAAAATAATGTATAAAGGATGGTATTATATATAGTTTTGAACGAAAAAAAATCACTTATGGTCAACTCCATCTGATTTGGTTAGGTAGTTGGTTAGTAATTACAATATTTTAAATTTGATTCGGGACTTACTCAGAAAATCAATTTGAATAGTAAATGTGAACTTTTTTTTGTAAATAAAAATATATATAGATTTTATTATTTTTTAAAAATTGATATTTAACATTATTCTCCACAAAAAAATAATAATAATATTTTTTTTTTGATAATGAGAGAAATTCGCAATTCACTATTTGAGGGTGTACACCGATTAATCTTCACATACTAGAAGTAAATAAAAATTCGACAGAAGAGTGTTTTAGATTTTTTATTGACTAAATAAAAACTTTGTTAAAATTGTTTAACCACGTTTCAAAAAATACGATTTTTAATTATCAAATTTAGATTTATTTAGATATAATAATGACAACAAACAAAATTTAAAAAATTTCCCCAATAAACCTTTATAAAAATACATATAGCAATCACCAAATTACAATTGGGCCAAACCATTTGGCTTAGCCCACTAAACTTGGGCCCAAATATGGCTATCAGCTTCCCATCTTCATTCTCAATTCTTTTTCTTCTCCGACCTCTGCTTTCTCTCTCTGCGTTGCAGGTGCTAAGCTTTCAAATACAGGGTTCAAAGGTGTTTTAAAATAAAGAGTTTGAAGGTACTATTTCCTCCTCCTCTCTTCTCTCTGCTTGTTCTTGTCGCTATATATGGATGGATATTGTTTGTGTTTGTGCGTGTGTTTTGTATGGTTTATTAGAGCTTAACCCTAATTTAGAGGGGAGCATAACTATTAGCTAACATTTGTGTGTGTTAGAATAAACTTCTAGCTTCAATGTGTTTGGTGAATTTTTTGAACTATTATTAGGATTAACCATCACCATAACCCTGTAACTGTGTAACTGTATAACTGATAATTTGCTTTAGGGAACTGCGGGTAAATGGCATTGCAGTGATGGTTTTTTAAAAATAAAAATAAAATTTTTACATACTCCTTTCCCTACGTGTCAACCCTAGCTATTTTTCCCCTCTAAATAGCTAAGTCAGCCTCTTGTGTATAAGTAAACAATGGATGGCTAAGAAAGCAAGTAGGGCAAGAATATCACAAAAGCCTTTGAAAGGGAACTTAGATTACTTGAGCACTTGCAGTTGTGTGATTGGTTAAAATGAGGCCCCTTAGGGTATTTATACTCAATCACCCCTTAATGGATGGTGGAGATATATTTGATCCTACGGCTAAGATTAGTTCTCTAGAATCCTCCATAATTCTCTATACAACGAAGAGGATTCCTTAATGTTCTAGAATATTCTAAAGCATCCCTACATCTTCTAGTGTTATGTACATGCTTCCAAACTATTCTACAAGCTAAGGGATGATATGTACAAGTGCTAGAAAATTCTAGAGTGGCGTAGCAGACCTCAGAATCTCGTACGAATGCTGTCCGGGCGCTACACCTTACCTTCCTTGTACCAAATGTTCTAGCCAATTTCTATTATATTGTGTTTTTTTTTTTTTTTTTTCGGGGACTCTTTCGTGCTTGCTTGGGGTTCTAGGGTTCTACCGGGAAACCATGGATTTTTGAGTTTTCGAATCCGCCAGTGGGGCAAATGCCGCCAGATGCGAGCCGCCCGGCCAGTTACTCGCGATTCTCGATTATTTCATTTCCTTTTTTTTTTTTTTTTTTTTTTTTTTTTTTTTTTTTAATAAATAATAGTAATTTGGTAATAAAGGGATATTGATATCCCAGATTAACCAGCTAAAACTAAAAAATTTGAATATTTTGTTTTTAGTAGTGTTAGTACTCTTCATGAAATTTTCATCATTTTATGGCATAATTAACTTAATGAGTTAATATCCATCTATAGTATGATATCAATCAGTTGAGCCAATCACTGCAGTACAATTGGCAATTTATGCATTATTTCATTCACGTGGAGTTCTTATAGATCATTTGTGAAATTTCTTGAGAATTTGATCCAAGGATTTGAGTTGCTCTCTCTCCCCCTTCCAATCAGGAGCAAGAGCTAAAGTACTACATTGCAGCAGAGGTCTTATCATGTCAGGTGGACCGGGGCTTGAGTCTCTTGTTGATCGTATGTATCATCCTATGCTCAAAAAAGTTTTCTATGATAATTATGCTATTTGGTTCGATTAAATATTTATTTTCTACTTCTCTGTGGTCCAGAAACTATATCAGTAATTACCAATGACGGACGTAATATAGTGGTGAGTTTCATGAACTTTGACCACTACTCGTAATCTATGAAACTTCTATGGGAGATGTGTGTTGTTTCTTCTTTTCATGTTTCTATTTATTAGTTCACAGATATTCTTACTGGCTTGAATTCTTCTTTGTTCAGGGAATTTTGAAAGGATTTGACCAGGCCACAAACTTAATTCTTGATGAATCTCATGAAAGGGTGTATTCAACCAAGGTTTGGCCTAATCTCTCTTATGTACATCAACAAAGTGCATTTCAATGGGTATCTTCTGTTATTGTGCAATTTAAATTTCTTTTGGGCATAATTAATCTATACTGGGGATTTCTTCTGTTTTGATTTTGTTAATTGTCTATTGCATTCTCCTCCTCCATGCTCGTATTTATAATTGAAACCTTCTGGTCTTTTGCCAGAATTTGCTAAATTGTGACTCTGTAATTGCCATCACATTTTTGTTGGGATGAATTCTAGTAACTCCCATGATGGACATATGGTTAATGAACTATTTTTTCCCATAAATTAGATTGATTTGTTGAAAAATGCTCTGAAGAATCTATTAAATACTAGGAACTTTAAGAAGCATACTACCATGATGTTTGAGACTTTGTGGGACGCCTGCAATTTCAATATTCTACTGGAGTGTTGAAAATAGCTTAAAATGAATTCATTGCCATCCTAAAACCGTGGTAAAGGAATAATGGAGCAAATACAAACACTTGAGGGAATGAGGGATCTTTAACTTAGTCATGAGTGGATGATAGAATCTAATTGGTAATTACGGAGTATAATTTTTTTTTTATGGTGTTCTCTATCTAAATTTTTTGGATGATGAGGAAAATTAGCTACTACCCGATGGTGTGAACTGGGTAAACCCTGTTCTTGTGGAATAGCCCGCAAACCACGTAAGAAAGGTAAACCACACTAGGAAGATTATGTGCGACGCGCTTGGCCTAGAGGGTGTTCTCTTTCTAAATTTTAATTTATTTTATTCCTTGCTTGTGTTTCAATGTATTAACCAAACCCTTGGTTTTGATATGCAGGAAGGTGTACAACAACTTGTCTTAGGCCTTTACATCATAAGAGGGGACAATATGTATGTCAATCAGTTGCTTTCTCAATTGCATTTACTCATCCCACACATAAAAACCAAACCACCATTCCCCCCACCTTTAGCATTTGACAAATAATATCTCAATTTTCTAATATTGTGCTCGTTTTTTTTTTTTTTTTTTTTTTTTTTTTTTTTTTTTTTTTTTTTTTTTCAATTCTGCAGTAGCGTTGTCGGGGAATTAGATGAAGAGCTGGATGCAAACTTGGATTTGTCAAAACTGAGAGCTCATCCTTTAAAACCAGTTGTCCACTGATGTTCTCGGAGCTTGGGATCAAAACTTGAGTTGCAATAGAAATGAGTTGGATATCAATGTAGTATGGTCTAAATTCACTTGAATGTTGTGCTACTGAAATACTATTGTAAACTAAACTCCCTTAGCCATTTTGGGATGCTGAATCTTGCTTTTGAAGATGGTCTATAAAATCTTCTCTTTTTTTTTTTCTTTTTTTTTTTTCTCTTATTTCTTTTCAGAAATTGATCTTAATCTTTTATTGATCAGCCATTTTGGGATGCTGAATCTTGCTTTTGAAGATGGTCTATAAAATCTTCTCTTTTTTTTTTTTTTTTTTTTTTCCTCTTATTTCTTTTCAGAAATTGATCTTAATCTTTTATTGATCAGACATTTGTTGGGTAATACGGTTCAGAACTCAACCTTTCCTTAAGGGCATAATCACAGATGCTGAAAGCTTAAAGCAGCTTTTTTGAAGCATTCAGAACTTAGAAAGCAAATATTCTTCTGAACTGATGAGAATATGCTTTCAACATAGGGACACATCATTCAATTGCATAAACACATGAACACACAGAGACTCCATTATCTTTTCTTCTTGTATTTGATGACAGCAGTGTTATGAAATTGAAACAAAGAACACCAGATTCATATGAAAAACATTTAAAGAATTCAATCTCATCTGTTGTTAGCTAAGTTACTACCTAATTATTTTGTCTCTTCCAATTCAGACTCTTCACCCTGGCTGACACTCTTTGCTCCAGGAACACCTCCAGACATCCCACACCGTCCCATAGCAACAAGATGAGGAAGCTTAATCCTGGCGTCGTAAACAAGGAATGGTTCAATTAGGCAACCCCTTGGTATTTGGTAAGCCTCTAAGAAAAACAATACGCCTCCCACGATGTCCCATAGCACAGGGTTTGGTTCGATTAGGCTACCCTTTTCATAAGCCTCTCTAAGAAAAACAGTATGCATATACCCTTTAGTGGACAAGTAGAACATCCCAGGATGATCCAAAAACAAGCCCCTTATATTCAGATCAATCCCAAAATACTTCCTAAAATGGCTAATCTTTTCAACCTCTACTATCTTCTCCACTGTCAAATTCGAGAACTCGTGAACTATCCAAATTGCCATCTTCTCCTTTGCCATTGTTTGCCTCTTAGTCATCTTCAATCCCTCATGTGTTGTTAGACAAGTCACTCCCTAATTATTTTCGACCTCATCCAATTCAGACTCTTCTTCACCGCGTTTTGCTCCAGAAACACCTCCAGACATCCCACGATGTCCCATAGCAACAAGATGAAGAAGCTTCCTCCTAGCGTCGTACACAGGGTTTGGTTCGATTAGGCAACCCCGTTCGTAAGCCTCTCTAAGAAAAACACTATGCCTATACCCTTTAGTGGATAAGTAGAACATCCCAGGATGATCCAAAAACAAGTCCCTGATATTCAGATCAATCCCAAACCACTTCCTAAAATGGCTAATCTTTTCAACCTCCACCATCTTCTCCACTGTCAAACTCAAGAACTCATGAACTATCCCTACTGCCCTCTTCTCCTTCGCCATCGTTTGCCTCTTAGTCATCTTCTTCTTCACACAGGTCACCAATTCCTCGTATGGCCCGATGTATGGTATGCCTTGCCATTCTTTAACTTTAGCCTTAAAATCCCTCTTCAACCTCATTCCAGGAGGATATGAATGCTTAAAACTATAGAGAATTTCAGTCCTATCAACACTGCAATCCTCTCCACAACACTCCTTGATCCTCCAATTTTCAACAGCAGCAACAAGGCTATCCTTTGGCACTTCAGTCACAAGTTTCAATACATGAGTGTTAGGTTCATTCCCATCATCAAGTGCAAAAAGATGAGAATTCTCTGCGATTACAGAGCTCTCGAAATCATCCGGTAGCCCTAGCTCTTTCCAGACCTTGAAAATAGCTCGGAGCGGCACCGTTTTAGTGAGCGACATTGATAGAACCCGGACCAATCGCTCCACCGCAAGGGGAAGTGAGGCATTGATGGCTTGTGCCTCTAATCGGGCGATTTCCAGTGCGGTTTCAGTGAGCGCACAGTACGGCTGAGACTTGGCGGTGTGGTAGAAAATGCGGAAGATGTGAGGATACCTGCGGAGGAAGGCGGTGGCGCCGCGGTTGAGGTGGAGCCTCTGAGAGAGGCGGCTGAGGAAATCCACGGAGACGGAAGGCGGATTGGAGCGGCTAGCAAGGATGAGGTCTTGGATGGCGATGACTCTGAAGAGGTTTTTGAACTTCTCCATGAGCTTCTCGAAGGTTATGTCTCTAGCTCTCGATGCTACATACTCGGCTGAGGTGGTTTTGCAGCGGAGATGGACAGTTGCGGCGGCGGCGGAGGAGGAGCAGGAGGTAGGAGGTTTAGAACTTAGTTTCCTCAGAATGCGAATTGCCATCGTCTATGTCGCCTCTCCGCCGCTGCTTTCCGGCGGTTCTGCGCTACTAGTTTACCAAATGGTGGTGGAAAGTCGGCGGTGGATCGGACGGGAGCCCAATGAACTGAAATTGGAACCGGCAAAAAAACCAAAATCACATATTTTATCTATAACCTCTAAGCTTTTAGATATTACAAATTTTACCAAAGTTTTGAAATTATCCTATCCTTTTGGCCCTGTTACAAATTTTGGCCCCTATCAAGAATGTTCACTATGATCCCAAAAGGAGTAACTAAATGGATAGATTATAATTTTTATATTTAATGGTCACAAGTTTAATATATAAACTCTATACTTATGTAAATTTTATCAATGTAACAATTATTTTATACAAAAATATTGCACGGATCGCACCTCATCATCTCCACATTGATCATGCACCTTTAAATCGATTGATCAATCACTTTACGTATCAATTAATTACCCTTGGTTGATAGGTCAAGTGCCAAATAGTACCATGAACCAACAACGAAATGTCATCCCACACACTAATCTTACATAAGTGATTATTCGACTCACAAACCAAAAAAAATTGTTCACCTAGCATTTTTTACAGGTTACCCTGTTGCCTAGATGACATGGCTCCGGTTAAAATTGACGTGGAAGCTGATTAAAACATTTCCTTCGATTTGACGAGAACATCGGAGATCAAATGTTAAAATTCCACCGTCGGTGACCACTGCAATGACCCTCTGACTGCTCGGTATAACCGTCAACAAGGTACGACCAAAAACTTGCATCCGGGATCTAATCGCCATTGCTTTACTTTCGTTTCAATGCTAAAATTGCCCCGCCATTGCTTCATCTGAACGAACACTGATCTAGAGCTATCACATTCTATCTAAAACTCTAGTTTTTATTTTAATTATAATTTTTTTCATTTCTGAGATCTCTTTTTGCAAAATTGTAATTCAGCAGTCCGTCTTTTACTTCTTTGGATCAGAATTTGTTTGTTATATATGACGGTAGATTATTCAGATCAAATTTATTTCCAATATTCTTTCTAACCTTCTCGGTTCCAGTCTTCTCGATTTAGGGATTTAGGGTTTCGAATTACAAATACAAATTAGGGCTTAGGGCTTAAGCTAGGCAATTAGAGATTTGGAAAAATGAGATTCTTCAGACATTGAAAGGGATTCGAAATACGCATGAAAATGAGGTTGATTTTGCCTAAATTATTACATTAAACAGATGAATTGATGCCACATCTACTCACGTCTCTGCCACATCTACAAAACACCACACACCGCAGCCAAGTCACCGCCACATCACAAACTTATAACCTTTAACTTGAAGGTAACCTGTAAAAAATGCTAGGTGAACAAATTTTTTTGGTTTGTGAATCAAATAATCACTTATGTAAAATTAGGGTGCGGTATGACATTTCGTTGTTGATTCATGGTGCTATTTGGCACTTGAGCCTTTTTTTTTATCTATACCACTTGTTCACCCTTTACATGTTTTTCTATAAATCAATGTAATTGTTATCAGAAAGTATGCACCCAAGTCAGCAAAAAAACACAAGGAGATAAATCAATTTAAATTGTCTATAACTAATCGACTTAAACTAAGAATGTCAATAAATAACTTTCAAGGAAATTCATACATAACATTTAATGATTATCAAACTAAGAGCATCTCCAATAATTGTAAATTTTGAAGAGTTTTTGCAGGTGTAACTAGAAAAGAGAAGATGAGAAAGGAGGAAAAAAAAAACAAAAACAAAATCTGAAGAAAAAAAACCAAAATAAAAATAAAAAGTAAAGATTTACGCCTCACACGAGGCAAACTCAATTTTTTTTAATGGTGGAGTCCACTGTGGAGACAAGAACTCATCCTCGCTTATAAGAACCCTAATTATTTTTTCTCTTCTCCCTCTCTCCCATATAGTATTAGAACCTTAAAAGATGAACCAAAAATTACTATTGTGATTGTCCTAACTAGACCAAGTGACCAACTTACCATGGTTGCCCTAAGCTCACCCTTCACCCCTTCTACACAACTCTAGATTTGTTAGCTTAGCTAAGATCTTATCAAGGTATGTAAGATGTTAGGAAGCAAGATGACTTGTCATCTTAGGTGTACTAGGAACACAGTTCCGGTTATTGATAACATTTCATTAATCATCTATCCTAAACTAGAGACCAAAATTTTCCCAAGTGTATGGCTTAACCAAAAAAGAGCTATACTATTAGTCTGTCAACATCCAACTACACACTTCTTGATTCCAACACTAAAACGAAAGACAAAACTGTCACCACAACCTCAAACCTACCAGAAACATCCCATTCCCACCATATTTGAACACTCTTTCCCTCCCAATTCTCTAACCAAACATTAACTCAATCCCCCCAAAAAAACCATACATCTGATCTGGTTCCTAGGATCAAGAATCCACATGAAAATGTCAGCAGCCATATCTCTATCTGTTTCCCACCTCCCAATCTGCAAATCCCACCATGAATCTCTTCCCAAACTCCCCAACAAGGAAAACTCCTGCCCAAGAACACCTTTAGATGCAAAACTGAACAGGAGAAAGTTGTTGCAGAACACTGGGCTGAGCCTGATAGGTGGAGCATTATTATCTGCAAGAAGAGCAGATGCAGAAACTGAAGCCCCATCAGATGCAAGCTCGAGTAGAATGTCGTACTCGAGATTCTTGGAGTACTTGGATCAGGGTGCTGTGAAGAAGGTGGATTTGTTTCAGAACAATGGAAGTTTTGCAGTGGTGGAGATACAGA